ATGCCAAGAGAAAATTCACATTGGATGATGAAAGTGCTAGTAACTATGTTCAGGGCATGCTTTAGACAGAAGAAATATTGCAGGAAGAAACTATTAGTGGTGTGAATTTCTTCACCAGTGAATATCTGTATGAGCGTAACTGTAAATGGACTCATGAGGACTATAGTAGTATAAGGACAAAGCACGAGTTTACTGCAGCCATTTTGGATTTATCATGAGCCCAATATTGGGCACCGAGGCATTGAAGGACTGAGGGAAAGCAGCACTGAGGGAAAGACACAGACTATAGAACTCTCTCCAGCTGAACTGCTGTGACCTAGCTGTTTGTCTATATTCCAACTAAAAACTACTGGATAATATTCATTTATTTATTTTTATTTTCAATTTTAAGTAATTTATTTTTTATTGTATTGTCCATTACCACTTATACCCCCATACCCGCTTCCACCTCCATCCCCTTCCCCATGCCTTGTGGCATCACCACACTGTTAAATCTGTCCGGATAACTATAGCCTTAGTTTCACTTTATCTTCTGAGCAACAATATTTAGCAAAGAAGAGTCATGCAAATACCAGATTTAGTTATCTACCATGCCAATAAATCTGAATGGCAGCCTTATGCTAAAAAGCTCATCAAAGTAAAAGTCTCCTGAATTTCATTTTCCAGAATCATTCCTTGGGCATTTATTTAAACCCACATGAAGGAGAAGATATCTTCTGTGAAAGTATGCTTTTCACAACATCGTCCCTCTCTTCAGAATTTGTGGTTATTATTGTTTTAGCTCTTGTCATTAGAATATTTAACTTTTGACTTTTTCAACACTTTTCTATTCTGGTTAAGGAAAAGGGAAAAATCAAAGTGAAGATATACAAGCATATATCTTTTAATTTTAAGAGTTTTCAGGCAACTGTAATTGAACAACAATAAATAAATAAATAAATAAATAAATAAATTTTAAAAAAGTTTTTAGTCTTGTGTGAATTTAAACCCTTGTTACATTTGTTTCATTCTAAGATCTGAATCCCTGTGCCACTTTCATCTCTCTCAAGTTGTGTCTGGCAATCTTTCTCTCTCTCTTTTAAAAATTTAATTGTTTGTTGGTTCTTCTTCCTCTTTTTGTTTTACTCCTTGTTCCTGATTTCACCCCACTGGTGCCACAACTCTCATTCATGAAGGGGAGAGGGAGTTATTGCATGTTGAATAAGAGATATATTCTTTGGTGGAATATACTTACTTAGAAGTCTCCAGTTTTCAGCAATTTTCTGCCCTCTATTATCAGGGAAACTTATTCTTGCCTGTTAATTTTTGGAAAAGTTTTTACCAAACCATGAAATTCAAGAAGATAGTCAAATGTTATTGGGGATGCTAGCAAATGGAGGCAAAGAAATGGCAGGAGAGATTGATGTCCTTGAAGCTATTTCACGCAGTTTATCTCTCTCTGCAAGAGCTTTTGAAGGACATTTGGGTTGGGGTAAAAGGGTCTAGATGGAATGCGAGAGACAATACATTTTGTTCTGGGTTTCTGGTATTTATTTGAACCTATTCCAGATTTCTAGCCTTTATCAATTAAGTTGGTCATGCATACATATATTCCTGTATGCATGGGCCTTGATCTCTAATATCACTGAGTAAGGAAAAAAATTACATTTGAGATTTTCCCATCAGGGCTCACTCACTGTTCATGAAGAGTCACACTTGATGCTGGATGACCAAGAGGTGAAAAAGAAATTTTTGCATTCTGAGAGTGAGCAGGATGGAGTGAATGAGCCAAGAACAGAGAAGATAGTAAGGAAAACCCACCACTGTTCTAGGAAATAGTCAAGGCCAACAGCAATTTGTGAGCCAGAATCATCTCTTAAAATGTACGTTTATCTTTATGTCAGAAGAGGTGCGCTTGAAAACATTTTTCTCAACTTGGTAACATTAAGAAGTAAAAAAGATACTTGTAATACTTGAAATTTCCCAAAGTTCTGCTAACTAGAGAGTACAAAAACATGACAATTTTTCAGTGATTTAGAAATGGACATTAAAATAATACAATTTTCTAACTTTTAAAATACAGGATTAATAATAAACAAAATTAAATGTATTTTAATGAAGATATTCCTGTTCCATAAAAAGGGGAAAAGATTTCTGAAAATGCTACATGAAGTAATGAAAGAAAGGAAGAGCTACGTGAATACTGCTTCTCTATCTGCCCTGTAGTCATGGAATCATTCTCACTTCCCAATACCCTTCTGTGCTTCTTTGCAATGTTTATTTGGCTTGATGAGCAACTATGACCTTAGGTTCAAACAAACATTGAAAACCATGAGCCACAAAGGACTCACCTTGCCCAAATTCACTTTTTTTCTTCTTTATTCAGGTTTAAGTTTATTATTTTTTATGTCACAATTTTTATTGTTTATTCTATTACAGTTGTCCTGATTTTTTCCCTTTTGTTGTACGCCACCCAACTCAGCCTTCTCTCCCACAGTCAGTCCCATTCATGGGCCATTCTGTGGGCCATTCAACATGATCTTTGACTAATCCCTTCTCTTTTCTTCCACCATTCCTCCCCCTTCACCTCCCCTTCTATAGCTGTTAGTCTGTTCTATGTTTCCACATCTCTGGTTCTATTTTTCTCATTAGTTTATTCTGTTCATTAGATTCTAGTTATAAGTGATACCATATGGTATTTGTTGCTTGTCCACTGGCTTCTTTCATTTAGCATAATAGTCTGCAGTTTCATCTATGCTGTCACGAAGGTTAGGAGCTCCTTCTTTCTTTCTGCTGTGTAGTATTCCATTGTGTAAATGTATCACAGTTTTTTTTTAAATCCACTCATCTGATAGACACTTGGGCTGTTTCTAACATTTGGTTAATATAAATAGCACTGCTATATTTTCTTTATGAAAATATGCAAGATAAGCAAAACAACATTTTCAGGAACAATGTAGCAGAGGTCTCCCAGAATGTATGGGAAACAATTGAAACCAAGGATATTAACAAGTTTACAGAAAGTAAGAAGAAAAATGTGTATATTATGGGAAAGAAAGAAAAGCCTTTAAGTGACGATGGAAGAAAAAAGTAAAGGAAAAGAAACTGAGACTAAAGAAAAGAGAAAGAAGACAAAATTGATGAAATGAAATGAGGAGGTCAGAGAATAGGATTTGTAGAAGACAGTAAAAGGAATGCTAAGTATTTCAGACATTAGTTAAACATATGTATAATTTATTTCAAAATGCAAAACAGTGTGATAACCATGTAAGAACATGACAGATGGAATGAATTTCCATTGTCCAAAGTATTTTTGTGTGGAGAAGAAGAGGAGCAAGAACCAGATGATGATTTGATAACACAAGCCTCTTCTGAATCAGAACTATAAAGACTCCATGAAATATTACATGGTGGTCTAATTTGCTAAAAGCTTCTTAAGTGAGCACACACACAATCACATCAAAGCTTGGCATTTCCTATGTAACATTTCTAAACTGGAATGTACCTTATGCCTAATTTTTTTGTTAAAATTTGAACCAAGGCAATGACTGTTTTTTGTTTGTTTGTTTGTTTTTTGTCCAAAATACAGTGGAGAGGGATTTCAATGAAAAATGTAAGTAACAGAGCTGTATTGTTCATCCACAGTCTAATTCTTTCAAAGATACTTTGATCTCAGTTCCTTTTACCTCCAATATTCATTGTGACACCATGAAATTTTGCAGATATAAACATTAAATCCCAGACTTTCTCTGTGTCTTGAGGTATAGCAAATAGTTGACTCTGCATACCCTCCTTGCTTGCTTATAATTGGAGGAAATATTTTATTATCTGAGCAGACCTATATTGAATATATGCCAGGTAAAATGAGGGCTAAGAACTGATTACTTACTTTGAGAAAACCAAAGTTTCCCACTAAGAGAAATTATTTATCACAAAGTAAATTTCCTTCATTTTTCTTGACCCTTTAGCAAAAAAATGTACTAGAAGAGTCACATTTTCTTTGAGTTAAATACTTGAATAGATACAGAGATGGGGTGTTTTTTTAAAAATATGAATACTGGTATCTTATCTACACATATGATGCATCATGTTTTGGTAAAATAAGAGAGTTAAGATGGTATGAAGATATTCTTAACACAGTAAAATAAACTTTTGTAGCACCAGACATAGACTTAAGCTTAACAGTTCATCTGTGATAAACCAATTAAAGATTTTTAAGGGCTAATTGTAATTTAGGTATTATTTAATGTGTACACTGGCAGAGAGGTTACACAAATAAATGTCTAACCATCTCCTATGGAAACACTATATTTTAAGTTTGTTGAATATTGATAGAGTCCAGGACACTTTTTCTAAAATTTTTTCCACTCTAAAACTGGAAAATTTACTTTTGGCTTTTTCTTGTCTGTAGCAGTATCTCAGCAGAGTCAGAAGCTTGTGTTAAAGTTAGTAGAGAAACTATTTTCATTTCCATCCCTATTTCTTCCCAGTTTCTTCCTACCTCCTTCTTCTCAATATTAATTCATTGCTAAAATAGTAGTGTTAAGTTAAGCCAAAGGTAGACTTTGAGCATTGCTTTTCAGTAATAAGTGATAATCTCAGAAAAATAAAATAATTTTAAAAAGATAAAATGCCCTTGGATTAAATTCTCACTCATAAACATAAATCCAATAAATTTATCAGTTAATTTGTGATTCTGTAAGCAACCCCCCCACCATTCTTTGATGGTCTTTTACTGAAAAGACTTTATGGTTTTGTTGTTTTGTTTCTTATTTTATTTTCTTGAGCTCACATGAAGTCTTATTCAATTTAGTCTCTTTTTCTCCTCTTCATGAACCCTGACTTTCTCTCTTTCTCTGAATGTTGGGGCATTCCATGTGTGCTGTATGTCATAATGCCTAAAAACTTGAATTCAGAATTTATAACAATAAAGCAAATTATTTGCTATCAAATGAAGTCCTGTGTTTCTTAGGATGAAAATTATGGGCTACTGGAAGAAAAGAAAGTCATAGACTCTGATGTGAAATCACAGCATTTAATGGATAATAAAGAAAATCTGAGAAGAAGTCATAGCAGGTTGTAGATTCTGCATGGTTTTCTTTCATGTTTGATTCAGAAGAATGTTTCTTCAAAGCAAATACCTTTCTACCTAGGATTTAAAACATTCTTTAAACAATAAATAAAAGTGGGAATGTATATATACATAAATATAGATATACAAATGTATCTATATACACACATACACATTTAACATGTATATGAATATGTATAAATATACATACATACATATATAATGACCTATCTACCAACTTATGAAACAAAAATGAGAGATTTTTAAAATGAACTATCTGCATATTCTTTCATGCTATTTTAAAGAAATTAATAGAATCTTATTGTTATTAAGATTTTATATAATCTTATATAATATAGAATGCTCATCTAGTGCATAGCTATGCAAACCTCCTTAAATACCAGAGACTTCTCTTTGTTGTACTCAATATTTCATCTTTAGGTTTTAATTATCTTACCAGATGTGTTTTCAGTGGTTTATATTGGATACAATTTCCTTACCTTTTTCTGTGTTTTGTTTTGTCTCACAGGGAAACTGAAACACTGCTGATATTATAAGAAATAATGGCATACTCATCTGGAAAATAAACAGCAAATTCATCCATAGTAGAGCTCAAACTTTCTATAATCAGATTATGTTGGACAGTTGTAGGTACATGAAGCCTATTCTTTTCAGTAATTTTGCAAGACAGTCAATCACTTCTCTATTTTCTAAATCCAAAAATATGTTATTAAAATTTAAGGCACTTGATAATGTAAATATATTCTGTTAGTAAATGACAGAGTCAGAATTCAAATACCTCTGGACAAACTTTGTAGGACATTCAATATGGAACTAATAGCATGAATAATCCAGGGAAATTTTTTATGGTCTCTATAATATCTTAGTAATTGGTATGGAACCTAATCTGTTAACATTTCCTATAACATTTCAGAATAATCCTTTTCAGATTGAAGTTTATAAAGGTAGCGTGAAATGGTAAGTCTTGCCATGAACAACAAAAAGGACTTGACACTTAGCATAGTTTGTATTCCAAGTTAAAAGGGAGCTCTTGCACATTGTATCAGAAGGATTCTAGGTGTTAAAAAACTCTGGTAACTGGAAACTGGCCCAGTCAGAAGACATATCACAAAGGAACAAAAATTCAATATATAAAGTAGAACCATTGATTGTATAGTCTTTGCGGACTGAAGATGATTTTGGAAAATTTTGTAGCTCAGAGAATCTTAGATCTAGATAATCATGTTCAACAGCTTTAGGGCATGGTTGTGGCTTGCCTACCTTTTTCATAATAATTGTACACCATGACTGGGGCTGGCTGAATGTTGGACACAAGGTTGCTTTGCTCAACAGAGAAAGTGAAATTGTTTGCTGTTCCAGAAACCTATAAAACACAAATTACTAATACATCAGAGAAGATCTGGAAAAAAAATTTTCTGGAGAAAATTATTTCCAGAAGTTCATGATCTGTCCAATTAGATAGATGGAAAGTATCAATATTATACGTCTTACATAGGGACTTGATCTTAAATAATTAGTGAGATAAAATGAAATTGTACAAAAATTTGAGTTCTATTGCTTATATTGAGCTGCAAGAAATTTGTCTGAAAGCAGTAATGTAGGCACTTATGTGAGTGGCAATAATGTACACATAGAAAGGATGACTAGGAGGTTGGGATGGCTTGTGGGGGGAGTGATGGGGAGAAAATGGAGTCAACTGTACTTGAACAACAATAAATAAATAAATGAATGAATAAATAAATGAAAAGGATGACTAAAACTCATGTCACCTTCATCAGAGTTCAAGTAAAACTATAAAAGATTTATAGAGCTACTCTGTGACCAAACTATGTGAGATGCAATGAGGAATGAAAAACAGGGAAATTATGTTTCTAAACTTAAGAATTATCTAGTCAGATAGTCAAGGCATGCATGAAATAATGTTAGAGTTAGCCGGGAGAAGATAATCATGAGGATAGAAGACCACTGATAATCTGTAATGTCCAATATTGTTTGAGAAACCATATCATGAATATCTATAAGGAACAGACTCATTCAATTATCCTTAGAAGAAATAAAGAAAACCATGGAAGAAAAACCATTATTGCTCAGCTTACATTTTCCAAGTAGAAAAGAACATGGTCATTCTTGACTTCAGTTTTCATCACTTGGCCATTGTTTTCAAGCTTTGAAGGAATTGGCAGAGAAGGTTAGGCAATTATATTAAAGAGTACTATTTCAGTACTGAATACTTTATAATTTTTATTTAACCAATTATCAGGACTCTAACTTATGGAATGGTTCCTTGTGCCATGATATTTTCATAAGCACAAAGAGGAACTTAAGAAACAGACTACAGACTATGGGAAATAATGCTTGCTAATTGCTATAAGTTAAGAACACCATCCTTCAACATTACGTCAAAAATAAAAATATGAACTCTTGAATAAGTTAGTTTAAATGAAGAATTCCATAACTTGGTTTTGCTAACTAGTTATTGCGTCTATACACTATTGCTTTTTCTGTGTTGAAAGATTGGGTTTCTATTATTTACCTCCTCAATAGATGACATGGCTGGAGTAAATCCTGATAGCATTTTTACATCAACAAGGACCATATTGGAGTTATTGCGCATTCCAGTATATCTGAAATTTAAAAACAAAACACTAGTTTAGACATCAGTTTAGAAAAGTGACTTATGGCAAGTGTGGTGGGTACATACATACTAATGAGCTATACATCTGGAGAAAAGGCACAGCTGAAGAGAAAACACCTGAAGAAAGCCATTCTCAAACATCTCAGAATGGCACGGTTAGAATGATAAAGGATGAGATGAAATAAAGCAACATAAATTGCAGTAAATAATGAATTATCTGAACTTATAATTTCCCCAAATCCTGCTTTTAAGATTACCTGAAGTCTCAAAGTCAGAATTTATAAACAAAGCTTGTACATTAATATTACATTTGTCTGTGGTAGGTAGATTAAGATGTGCACAAAACCTAAAGGAAATCTTTGGTTAAAAAGTCAGATGTTGGTAGAGTCATAGAGGAGACATGTCCTTAAGAGAAGTTCTAGGGTGTGTTCCTAACACTGGATAGGATTGTTGGGATGTGAAGTTAATTTAGTTCTTATTTTAGTTCTGGTGTTCATGAAACTATCATTTGGAAACCCTAAGAAAATCCTTCAAAATAATGTTTCGTAGTGTTTCTTCACATATTAACTAAGGTTCAAACCCTTTGGCATGTATAGTTTATATTTTAACTTAAAAGAATTATTTTGCTTTTCTATCTGAAAAATAAAAATTTAAATATTACTCTGTATAATTATAGAAAAAACATTTACAGATATCCTCCTCTAGGCCCACCTGTGCATGTTTTTAGGTGGAAAAATAGTATCTCCACTAATAGTACTTCCATAAAAAAATGGAAGCATTGCTGGAGTGTCAGTGTGGCAGAAGCCTGCAAGTTATATTTGCATGCAGTACAAATTGTACTTGTATAATTTTAGCTCTGATTTAGTTTAAGTACTAAATTGTTGTGTCTATACAGAAAGCTATAAAACGACTGTGCTATAGAAATTACACACTAACAAGTAAACTCACATCATAGGTATCATCATTCATATTTTGTTATTTTGCTATAGTTTAAAATAATTCTTTTTTAATATATTACCCTCTCTCTAATGAGGAAGTTGATATTAAAATCGATACTTACTTGATGGTTACTGTCAGGTCAAAAGTACTCTGAAATATATCCAAAGAGTTTTTCTTTACCATTTCCAAGGAAAGGAAAAATCCAGATTCCTTCCTAGTTAGTAGCACATTATACCTAAGGGTAGCCTAGAAAAGATAGCAAATCATTAAAAAAAAAAAACCATCCATTTATTCAGTAGTAAAAACTAAAGGACTTGTTTCTCTTATTTTCATTACTAATGCACAATATCTTATATTTCTCTTCATCAAGGAATAAGGTTAAATGTAATTGTTTAGTTTTCAAAATACACAAGAATCTTTATAACATAATTTAATAAAAATATCAGAATACTTTCTAACAGTGACATTCCTCAAGAAACTTCTCAGTTACCTAGTTATCCTTAAGAGTAAATACTTCTTCATAAAATAACTTGCATTTTCAGTCAATGAGTAGAACATATCAATGGGAGAAAGAGTACAAATAATCATAGAATTATGAAAAATGGTAGAATAACACATTACATATAACTGAACAGATAGTCTGACATTTTTACTGAGAAATATTCATCTCCCTCTCAGGTAGGTATTTATTACCTGGATAAATGCACAGCCATGTCCTTCCACATCTACTGTGTATTGTCCGTATGCTTTAGTTAGCTCCGAACGTTGGACCAGTAAGCGGTTGTCATTATTAACCTGGAAAATCTCACTGGATTCTTCACCGCTAAAGGTGACATTGTTTTGACCATTAGAAAATGTTAACTTCATATAGTGGGTTAAGGCAAGAAGACAGACAGCAGTGTCCTGCACAGAATGGTAGAAGCAACGATATGAGCTCTCTTATGCTGCAGTATTTAAATCAGTCCACAGAAACATTCCTAAATAGGTCAATAGAACACCAAGAAGTGATATCCTAAAGATCAGGAAACTATATGATTGTGATAGTTGTTGCCATTTAAATTTCTTTTTTTTACTGATCTTAATCAGATTTTATTGTCCTAAAGGATTATATAAAGTATAATCTGCTGTTGAAAGCAGTACCAAATATTTTCTGATTTGATGTTATATAATTAAGTTGCCGTGCGCAGTGCTTATTTGTACCCAAACGTCTTTGAAAATGGGAAGTCAGACTCTTACGAGGCTGTTGGGAGAGTCACTAAGAAGGTTTTACTCTGAAATAAAGACAATAAAAAGAAAGCAAATAAGGAAGTGAAGATTTTCCCCAAGGGAGTAAAACTGCATTTCCTTGCATTTAAATGTTTTTTTTTTTTTTTTTTGGTTAGAAAGACATACATCATTTTATGTCATACCGATTTCTTCTGTTATACATTCATTTCATTTGCTTTTCCTGATGTGCAAACCACAAAAATATTTCTTTTTGACCATAATATCTAACTTATCATCAAGATTCTGGTGTTTATGACAACAATCTCTTCTAGACTTACATTCTATTGTTACTGTGTAAATGGAGATATAAATCAGGCATAGATTCCTTGAAAAGGGTTCTCATTTTATTCATCTGCAAATAGATAATTCCAAGTAGAGTTCCTGATACACAGAAACTGACCAATAAATAAGTGTTAACTAAATATAATAGGATTTATAACAGCAAATATCCTTTATCTCCTCAGGCATTTTCTATGGTTGTCTTTGCTGTCTAGAGTATGGTAGAGTAGTGTCTTTTGCATCAAACCTATTGTTATTAATATCAGACCCACATCCATCACCTGGGTGGAAGAGAAGCCTCCGTGGGAATTCATCTGTTGGACAAGCCACTGCACAATCTTACTAGCATAGGTGAGGTCAGGAGTTTTTTGGGAAATGATGGCCAATAGTACATAGCAAGTCTTCTCAGTCTCAGCAGCAGGTGCCCAAGGAATAAAGGATGGGGATGCTTCTGTCTGGGGTTTCTTAGCTCTTTCCCAATATATCACATTATCTGAGAAAAAAAATTTCACACAGTCCCTATGAAGAGAACTGACTACACATAAGAATGATGCAAATTTCATCATTCTTCTTGACCTCTGTTATGGTCTCAAAGGTACCCCTCAAAACTCATGTGTTCAAGCTCTACTCCCCCAAATACAGAATTGACAGTATTTGGAATCAGGGCCTTTGAAAAGGGGATTAAGTTAAAAAGAGGCCATTAGGGGCCTAATCCATTATGATTGGTGTCCTTATTAGAAGATGAAATTTGGACACATGTAAGAGACACCAGGGACATGTGCGCACGTGCACACACACACACACACACACACACACACAGTGTGAATACGGAGGGAGTAGATGGCCAAACAAGAATAAGGCCTCAGAAGAAGTGACACCCGCTGACACCTTGATCTTGGAATTCTGTCTTCAAGAACCGTGAAAAAATAAAAATGAACTTTGTTGTTTAAGCCATCTAGTCTGTGGCATTTTGTACAGCAACCTTAAGAAACAAATATAGCTTTAAATAGCAACTTCCAGCCCTGGCTGGCGTAGCTCAGTGGATTGAGCTCGGGCTGGGAACCAAAGTGTCCCAGGTTCGATTCCCAGCCAGGGTACATTCCTGGGTTGCAGGCCATAACCCCCAGCAACCGCACATTGATGATTCTCTCTCTCTCTCTCTCTCTCTCTCTCTCTCTCTCTCTCTCTCTCTCTCTCTCTCTCCCTCCCTTCCCTCTCTAAAAAATAAAAATAAATAAATAAGTATTAAATAGCAACTTCCTAAAATCAAAGTGGTATGTGATTAAGTTTTACAAGCAGTTTTTATTTGCTATAGTATGGTCACTAAGCTGGATTTCCTTTATTTTGCTCACTTCAGGAGAAACTACAGAAAAGAGAAAGTAGAAAACAGAAAATAGATAATGTTCTTTAAAGATAGAGGGCCATTCAGAAATTCCATCAGAGAAACAGAAATATACCAGTGAAGAGAGAGTTCCTGTATGATCTCTAAGTGTCATCACTTTATTCTCAAGGTCATCTCTGTTAGCAAAAGTAAATAAGAATGCTTACTTATTTTTGTAGCAGATTGATCCAGAATGTGGAGTAAGGATTTCACTTGCTTCTCTTTTCCAGCTAATGCAAAAGCATAAGCTAGCACTGCATAATCATAGCCATCGCTAACACCATTTTCCAATGCATCCTCTAGGCAAAAAAGCCCATGCCGTAGGGCAGGAAACTTGTCATGCAGAAAAACAACATATTTTAAAGTGATACCTGAACACTTGATAAGCTCACTGAATATTTAAACTAATCATTCTTTATACCATATATAATATATCCTTGAAGTATACTTTACATACAAACCTACTCATATATATAAACATATGTATTATGCTTTATAAATATCAATAAAATTAATTTTAAATGGATTACTAGTATTTGAGAAATAAAATTTAAATAGTCTGAAAAATGCCAGTTTCTATATTGGATAAGTCATATTTTAGTTAATAATAAAAATTTCTTATATGTGGCAAAGAATACAAACTTATTTTTATACTTAAGATACTTTATTCTAATACTAAAATAGAAACTTTCTAAAGATGATTTTCGAGATTTTTTCTGAAGATGATTTTTGAGATATGCAATGACTGTGAAATTTCCTAGTATCTTCTTTCAGGAATAGATTATGCAATCAGATAATTTGACCTTTGGATTGGGAGGCAGCCAAGAAGAGCAACACGTAGGTTGAAATGTTTACACATTGAATTGGTTAGTGAAACATAATATTAGGTTATGGTTAGATGCAGAGATTGGAGGCTTAATCTGAAATCCATAGCTGAACTTCAGAAGATCTGTAAACACCTGAAACGGTATGAAAAACTTCTGTATGTGTGCCTGTGTGCATATTTTCCCTAGGGAAAAACCCAATAGTGTTCATCAAAGGTTTCTATGAATGAAGAATAACTTGAGTAACATCAGCTTAAAGAGAGGTAATAAATAAAATGTTCTTTTGATGTTTCACCCAGTGTGAGAATTTCAAATAACTCCTATTTCACAGTCTGTTTAAGATGCATTCGAATGACTGAAACTGAAAGATGATGGGAATCCTTACAGTGAAGCTGAGCCCAGCTTCCAGGAACGCTCCCACAATGTACGCAGTGAGTGAAATGTCCTCTTCGTCTTCTCCCTAATACACACACATGCACAAACACAATGAGTCACACAGGAGAGCAATGCACAAGAGAACAGCTGTTCTTCTCCAGTGAAATGAAGTATAAAAAGAAACACAGAAACAATTACCATTATTCCTTAAAAGTCACCTAAGAGTGCAATTTTTAAATTAAATTGTTAATAACCATACTACCTGAGCAAAAATCCAACATAATCCAGGATTCAACATAACAATGAAAAATGGCATAAAATTAATCTCAAGTATACTTAATGACATATAACTGTATTTATGTTGCCTGATATTAAGTATGAATTCCAAGCAATTCATACAAAGAGTCATATTTTACTTTATTTGATATTAATTTGAAAAAGCAAACAAAGAATTTCTCATGGGATGGACCAGAAAGTTGTGAATATTCCTCAACATCCCTGGGAACTTATCCTGGAAAGTAACAATGATCAGGGGACTCGGATTCTTGTAGTGTAAGACTAGAAAAGTGTAAGTTACGTGGTTTACAAACTGTGCATAGAAACATTATGGGGAACTTAAACATTAAATGAACCAGTATGCACACAAGAGATTCTGATTAAAAAAGTCAGGAATAAGATACAAGGAAATGAATTTTAATGACTCTAGTGACACTGATGCAAATCACATTCCAATAGCATCTGGGATCTGCTGCTCTAGCATAAGCTTCTTCAGAAGAAAATATTTCTGAGTTCACTTATCAAGGTGTAAATAACTGCAGATTTTGGGTATGAAAATAAGATGTGGGGACCAGTGCAAGTTTTTACTTTTTTCTTGCTTCTTTCTCCCACCCATTTTAAAATGTGCACACACACACAGTTATGGAAAAAGATTGGGTAAGATCAGACAAACTGACATACTGACCAGTAATGAATCCAATCAAAAGAAATGTGGATGTGTTTTAGAAGGGAACATGAAAAATTCTGATTCTTCACATAACAACAGATTCTATTCTCTATCGGGGCCTCCTGCTATGAGAAATAGGTTTGAAATAATTTAAACACATTTCCCCACACTAGTAGTAATGGAATGCAGGTGAGCGGCAATCTACAAAGAAAGTAAAACAGGAGAGAGGATGCCTAGTGATTTAGCTACATATGAACAGGAAAAAGGAAGGAGTGATTATTTCATCTGACTTGTGGGGTCTTCATGCTTTGACTTGAGAAGGTATTGGAAGAGTGCTTCATTGAAACAATGTAAATTACTAGATACTCTCCCTGAACTTTCTTGTCACCCATGAATAGGAATAATGACCTATTCAAGGCCCCCTTCATTAACATACCTTTTGGCTCCAAACTTATGAATGTTCTCTCTCAAAGTTCTTTTCTCTCCCCATTCTCCTATTGCTAGTTTATATCCTAAAATAGATTGATTCTATGGAAGAGCTAAAGACAGTAAGGCAAATAATAGATTGATGAGTTATTTTTATCTAGCCGTGTTGCTGTTGACTAACACAACATAGGCCTATAACTGCCACAGACTCAGAAGGGGTAATATGCACACAAAAAATTTTCAAGTTCCAGATTAGTTAGGCCAGAAGTAGGGAAGGTAGGCAATACAAAAGAGCAGGGAAAGGCTATTTCTGTTAATCTCTCACCTCCCAGGTATTGTTGAAAAGCTTGCCATTACTTCTAAAACAGCCACCGCTTTCCTGTTTGCTTGAAAGCCAGATCAAGGTCTGTTGTTGAACTCGTTCATCAATGAAAACATGTTTCTTCATTGCCTCAAATATCTTAAAAGTAAGGGCACTGAACCTGTAATGCATACCACCAGTGAGGGGAAAGTTAGAAAAGAAAGAAATCATAATGTCAGCTACTCAAAGGATTCATCACCATTGTTTTAATCTGGCTAATGTTGACTGTAGTTAGTATTGATAGTGGCTCTTTACTTTGGGTCAATAAAAGGTTTTGAACAGCAATATGTGAATATTAGAGTAGGTAATTTCCAGCCTGTTTATACACAAAGTTCAAGCTGTGTAGTTCATTAGATTATCCACATGTGGTGAGAGATTGGGTGTAATTAGATACTTTGGGTACTTCTAGTTTTACTCCCCACATCTGCATGGGACTCTAAGAAATGCAGATTAAGTTGTGGCATTTTCCATGGAGTCAACAAGCTGTGGGAGTAGAGAGGGTGTCATTTAATTTGCCATGAGACTCTAGGTATATTGTATTAGAACTAGAATAATCAAATATTTTAGTATTAATGATTCACCTCTGTCGATTCCCTTTGAAACCCACTTTACTTTAAAATCTCCTATGAACTCAAGTCCTCTCATTCTCCCATAAACCCTCCTCAGATCCTCTCTACATTATTTCAAATAAAATGTTCATGTCTTACCGTATGCTTCCTTCCTGATTCCTCTGCCAAAATACACTATATGAGCCATCCGAGTTTTTGAAAGACAACTGTTTTTGATAGCCTAAAATACAACATTGTAGAAAATTGTTTTTTTAATCAAAGAAAGTCAGAAGAAAAAGAATGGTGTAGCATAAGCCTTGTGTTTTGGTGTTAGACAAACATGAATCACTAGATGACTATTTTAATTTATTTCTGAACCTGAGGTTCTCTATCCACATTGAGAAAAAATAACTTTTACCTCATAGAGTTTTAATGACAAATAAGATATTACATGTGGCAGAGCCTAGTTTAATAACTAGCATTTACAATATTTCATAAAGGTTCTTTTGTTTTAGTGTTATCTTTCTGAAAAGAAAACCTAAAGAAATCATACCCCTGGACTTCTCCTTAACATCATATTTTACAAGGTTTATACATCTTTTTCCTACATGCAAACCCAATCACTTCATTGCAATGAAGCACAATTGAAAGATAAATACAGAAGTTGATAAATAAACCATTTCTAGCTACTATTAATAGCAACAACAAATAAGGTAGCTTGGCAAAATATTAAGCACTAAAACATGAATTCATAATTTGAACTGTCACAGTTTTATATTGTGGCACTAAATGACTACACAGGTATTGAAGTCTAAAAAATTCTAAAAATACCAAAACCAAAAACCAAACACATAGTTCAAACTCAGAGCACCTTGGGGCAGGTCTGCTTTTTGCCTATGAGACTGCTTCATAATATCAGGTTTTTGGCATCTTGGGATTAGTAACAACTGATTTCATCTACTATGGGCAGAAATTACTTAAACCTTCTCACCATTAGATAAGAAAGCCAGAGCCTTAGATTTAACTTCCTCTGTCAATTGTTTAGTAGATTCCAGGTAGTCAAGGACATAGGTATCAGATGCTAGGAGAGCAATATTCTGCTCTTCACATCCACAGGGCATTTGGAGAAGATTCTCCAGATTCTGCATTGTAAATCCTAGAATATCCCCTAAAAATAAGAAAAGCAGAAAGCTACTGTTACTTCAAGTTGGTTTATGAGCATTAATAACTATAGTCTAAAGAGGCATAGTAGAAGTAGAAAATATTTAAAATTGAGTCTAAAAGGTGGAAACAAGGAAAATTTTCTTGAAGTAATTTTAAAGAGAAGACAGACATGAAGGGTGGAGTTAAAAGAGTTTCTGGTATGAAAAGTATTTCTGAAAAATCTCATTACCAGAGAAAAGAAAGTTTAAAAAATGTGTTTGTTTCCTTTTTTGTTTTTTGAGAACCTGACCCTATGAATTATAAACTGTATTCTATCCCTTTCCCCAAAAGTGTTGATGTTAATGATAGAGAAATTTAAATCTTGCAAAACAAGTTTCTCTTATTACTGAGGAAATTTCCAGCATTTGTAACAAGCAAAGATTATTCTGATTCTCCAAAGGGGAATTTAATATTTTACATTAATAAACTATAATAGAACTCTTTGTTTTCTAAACACCAGTCATCATCCACTAGAACAAATGTTTCCTAGGGACAGATTTGAAAATGGTGCTGTAATTCTTTAGATTCCTACATGGAAACAAGCTTAGAAGATAATCCTCAACAACAATTATCTTCAACTGATAGTAAATATAGAAAAATCTCTCCATCAAGTTATTTTAAGGAATTTTTAAAGACAATCTCCATCAATATTTTCAAATCAACATGAAACTCGAAGTTTAACTTACCCACAACAGTGAAAAAGGCCCTGGCTGATCCTTTTACCACATTGTCTGGCAAATCCAAAACCACAGGCATGGAGGCTTTGGTGTCTGGAAAGAAAATATCAATAAAACAAATAAGGGGGTGGCTTCTTTTTATAAGCAATAGCAGAAGACTTGTGGAACAAACATATTACATAATATATTACATTATTTCATTTTACAAGTTGCTTGTTAGAAGAGGTAAATTGTGGTTTTGATTAGTTTAGAATAACAATACATTCAGAAATGATATGTGCATCTGTGTGTTAGATAGTGGCTACTATTCTTCATTAGTTTAGTGCTTATACTACTGATGTATAAAAATGTCAAAAACTATTGACTATGACATATAAAAAGCACACACAATATATAAATCTTGGAGACACCTTTTAGGCATTAAAGTCATATTATCAACTAGATAAAACAATACTGTGATGGCCATTTAGCAGGCAATTGAAGGGCAGTGATTATTTCATCCCAAGATACAAAAGTAAAGGTAACATTATGTGTAATTCAGGCATAATCCCAATTTCCCACTCTTCAACAGTTTGTCACAATCATATGACAAAAGAATCCAAAAATAGACAAGATAGGAAAAATAGGTTGAGGCAGACCAATAAGCTGGGTGAACTAAAAAACAAATGATAAAAGCCTGTAACTACTATAGTTTTTCTTGGCTAAAATTATACCATAAAAATAGAGCATGAAATAAAATAATCCTCTATTAGGTGTTTTGAATAAACATCTGACTGAGGTACTCAGTATGGGAAGCATTGATAAATTTTCTTTAGGACTAAGTTGACCACCTAAAAGATCTTCTTACCTTTTGTACAGATAAGAAAACTTTGAGTCATTTCTTTTTCAATACCTTCAGGCTGTCAAAGAGTAAACAAAAACAAATAAAAAAATAATGAGTCTGGATCATCTTTCCATGAAGGAAAGGTAACAAGCCTCATCTTACATAAGTATGACTAGACATATTTGCCCTGGGGAGAAGATCCATTCATTGTCCTCTTCTTTTTATATCAGGAAGTTACCGTACATTAACAACATCCATTGAAGGCCCTGTGCTCCCATTGTTTGGACAGAGATAACTTCGATGTCATTTTGGGACACTTTCAACTCCTCTGATACTGCCTAGCATCTCCAATATACAAAGTGTTCTGCAGAGTAGGAACATGCCACCAGGTGAGGGTGATGGAAGCTACATAGAAGTGTAAGGACAGGTAGGTTTGTCTTGGATTTGAGTCAGTTAAAAAGGGGAAGGGAAAAAGAAGAAGCATACATAAAACATCATGAGTCAGAAGCAAACAAAAAGTCATCAAGCCTATTTTAAGTGATAAGTTTTACTATTCTGGGTCAGGTATTAGGTAAGAAAAGGATGAATTTTATTGCTGTTTGAAATAATTTCAGATGACATGTTTTGTATCAAAAGTAACTACTGTCAATTAAATACTAAAAAAAAGAGAATGTCTTTTAATATTTAACCCATTAGATACTGTCCCTTTCTCATCTGGAAGAACGTGATAGTTGTGCATGTACATACCTCCACCAACAAACTTTTGACCACAGCATCTTTCCAATTTAGATTCTGCTGCTCAGTTGCTCCATTTGGGCACGCACTAGTGTGTTTGGACTCAGCAACTACAGTGATATTCACTTTACCTGGAAAACATTTCCAAACATAAGTGAAAGTGATTATTGGCCACTTCTGTAATGGGAAATAATAAATAGCCCGTAAACCACATTTTGAATTGGATGCATTGAATTTTATCATATTTATGCTTAAACCAAAATATTTTCCTCTTTTACCTGACAGGAAATAATATGGTATATTCTGTTTTTACCTGTTTCAAGATTCCTCATGTTAAATACATGATTCATTTACTTAATTAGAACATAAAAAATTCTAAAGAAAAATAATAGTTCTGTAAAGCCAACTGAGAAGATTACTTGATATTGCTTACAAGGTACGTATGACAATATAGGGACATAACATCAGATAATCAGGGCTTCTAACTTATCCCAAATCAAATAAACAAAAATAATAAAATATGACAGTGTGGAAAGGGTACTGAATTTAAATCAAGTGCTAAAAAGGAATCTAGTTTCTTATTCCCTGTGATATCACCATACATGAAATAAAACTAATCTTTCAATAGTATGTTGAATAGAAATGGACAGTTCTACAAGGAGAACATACAGATGGCCCAGAGACATATGAAAGGATGCTCAGCAGCATTAGCTATCAGAGAGATGCAAATTAAAACCTCACTGAGATACCACTTTATGCTGGTCAGAATGGCCATCATAAACAAATCATCAAACAATAAGTTCTGGTGAGGTTGTGGTGAAAAGGGAACCCTAGTGCACTGTTGGTGGGAAGGCAGACTGGCACAACCACTGTGGAAAACAGTATGAAATTTCCTCAGAAAACTAAAAATGGAACCAGTGATCCTACTGCTGAGATTATACCCTAACAATCCTGAAACACTAATTCAAAGAACTTGTGCACTCCAATGTTCAAAGCAGCACAATTTACATTAGCCAAGTGCTGGAAGCAACCTAAATGCCAACTAGTAAAGTAGTGGATTAAAAAACTGTGGTACATTTACACAATGGAATATTATGCAGCAGAAAGAAAGAAGGAACTCCTACCTTCAGCACAGCACGGATAGAACTGGAGACCATTATGCTAAGTGAGATAAGGCAGGCAGTGAAAGACAAATACCATATGATCGCAACTGTAAGTGGAGTCTAATCAACAAAACAAACAAGCAAGTAAAATATAACCAGAGATACTGAGATAAAGGACCAATGGACAGTAACTGGGGTAGGGGAAGGGGATAACAGGGGAAGAAAGGAAGGGTCATCGGGAACATGTATAAAGGACCCATGGACAAAGCCAAAGCGAGAAAGATTGAGGGTGGGGGGTGGGGGTAGGTGGTAGCAGGAAAATGGAGACAACTGCATGTGAACAATAAAAAACAAAAACACACACACAAAGAAAACACAACAACATCAACTAATCTCCAGTTTCCCATTGTAAAAATTAGTGGATTGGAAAATCCACTAAATCTTGCTTTAATATTACCTGTAAACCTATATACCAATATGCATAACTAAAACACTGTTCTTGATTTTCTTTGTTGTTATACTTCATTTCTTTTAAACATTTTTATTGTATTTTTCTTATTACTATTTAGCTCTCTTATACTCTTTTTCCCCTGCAATCACCATGCTGTTGTCTATGTCCATAAATCCTTTCTCCTCTTGCCCTATCTCTTTACCCTTAACCTCTCCCTCCACCATAGCTGTCATCCTTCTTTCTATGAGCCTGGCTCTATTTTGCTTTTTAGTTCAGTTTGTCTATTAGAATCCTCATATAGGCAAAATTACATGGTATTTGTCTTTCTCTGACTGGCTTATTTCACTTGGCACAATGTTCTCCAGGTCCATCCATACTGTTGCAAAAGGTAAAATTTTCTTCTTTTTTATGCCCAAGTAGTATTTCATAGTGTAAATATCCCATAGTTGTTTTGTCCACTCATCTATTGATGAGTGGGCTGCTCATCAATGGCAGCATTTGGGCTGCTTTCATGTCTTGGTGATTGTAAATAATGCTGCAGTGAACATAGGGGTGATTATGTTCTTTTCAATTAGTGTTTTGAGTTCCTTTGGATATACTCCCAGAAGTGGGATTGCTGGTCAAAGGCAGATTCATTTTTAATTTTTTGAGATATCTCCATATTTCTTTCCACAGTGGCTGTACCATTCTGCATTTTCACCAACAGCGCAAAAGGGTTCCCCTTTCTCCACGTCCTCACCAGCAATTGTTTTTTGCTGATTTATTGATGATTGCCATTGCGGTAGTTTGAAGTAATATCTCATTGTGGTTTTAATTTGCATTTCCCTGATGATTAGTGACACTGAGCATGTTTTTGTATATCTATTGGCCATCTGTATGTCCTCTTTGGAGAAGTGTCTATTCAGACCCATTGTCCATTTTTTAGTTGGATTGTTTGCTTTTTTGGTTTTGAGTTTTATAAGTTCTTTATAAATTTTGGATCATAACCCCTTGTCAGATGTGTTGATGAATATGTTCCTCCATCCCATGGGTTGTCTTTTATTTTGTTGATGGTTTCCTTTGCTGTGCAAACACTTTTTAGCTTGATGTAGCCCCCATTTGTTTTTTTTTTCTTCTTTTGTTTCCCTTGCCTGAGGAGATATATCAGATAAAATATTGCTGTGAGCAATGTCCTAGAATTTGCTGCCTATATTTTCTTCTAGGATTTTTATGGTTTTGGGTCTAACACTTAAATCTTTGATCCATTTTGAACGTATTCTTGTGTGTGATGTAAGAAGGTGGTCTAGTTTCATCTATCTACACATATCTGGCCAATTTTCCTATCACCATTTATTGATTAAACTGTCTTTAGCCCATTGTATGTGCTTGCTTCCTCTGTCAAATATTGACTATAAAGGTGTAGGTTTATTTCTGGTCTCTCCATTCTGTTCCATTGATCTATGTGTCTGTTTTTATGCTAGTACCAGGTTGTCTCCATTACTACGGCCTTATTGTATAGTTTGATATTAGGTAGCATGATTCGCCAACTTTGTTCTTTCTCAGGAATGCTATTGCTATATGGGGCCATTTGTTGTTCCAAAATTTTTTGGAAATATTTGTTCTAGTTAGATGAAATACATCATTGGAATCTTGAAATGCTTTTCCTGCATCTATTGATATGATCATGTGATTTTTATCTTTTATTCCTGGAACAAATCCTACTTAATCATGGTATATGATTTTTTTTAAAGTGTATTGCTGTATTCAGTGTGCTACTATTTTGTTGAGGATTTCAGCATCTATGTTCATCAGAGATACTGGCCAATAATTTTCTTTTGATTTTAAAGTGTCTTTATCTGGTTTTTGAATTAGGATAATGCTGACCTTGTAAAATGAGCTTGGGACCCTTCCCTTCTCTTGAATTTTTTTGAAATAGTTTGAGAAGGAGAGGTGTTAGTCCTTCTCAGACTGTTTGGTAAAATTTACCTGTGAAGCCACCAGGTCCAGGACTTTTGTGTGTTGGGAGTATTTTGATTACTGCTTCAATTTCACTAGGTATAATCTGTCTATCCAGATTCTCTGATTCTTCCTGATTTAGTTCTGAAAGATTGTTATGTTTCTAGGAATGCATCCATTTTGTGGAGGTTGTCAGTTTTTTGTCATATAGTTGTTCACTATATATATTTTTTTACAATTGTTTGTATTTCTTTGGTGTCAGTTGTTATTTTTCTTCTTTAATATCTGATTTTATTTATTTGGGTCCTCTCTCTTTTTTTCTTGGTGAATCTGGTTAAAGGTTTGTCAATCTTGTTTATCATTTCAAAGAACAAGCTCTTGGATTCCTTGATCTTTTGTATCATTTTTAAAGGTTCTATTTGATTTATTTCTGCTCTGATCTTTATTATTTCCTTACTTCTGCTCATTTTGAGCTTTTTTTGTTGTTCAAGTTCCTTTAAGTGTAAAATTATATTGTTTATTTGAGCTGCCTCTCCTTCTTCCTTCCCTCTTCCTCCTCCTCTTCCTCCTCCCTCTCCTCCTACTTCTTCTCCTTCTTCTCCTCCTTCTCCTCTTCCTCCCCCTTCTTCTTCTTCTTCTCCTTCTCCTTCTCCTTCTCCTTCTTCTTCTTCTTCTTCTTCTTCCTTTTCTTCCTCCTTTTCTTCTCCTTCTCCTTCTTCTTCGAGAATGGCCTATAACGCTATGAATTTCCTGCTTTGGATTGGTTTCACTATGTCTCATAAATTTTGGGTTGTTGTATTCTGATTTCTATGTGTTTCAAGGTATCTTCTGATTTTTTTCCTTGATTCTCACTGTTAACTAATTCATTGCCTAGTAATTGATTTTTGAAGACCTTGTGTAGTTAGAATAATGCAAAACTTAAAATCTAATAGGAAAAGTAGTCTTAGACAAGTGAATATTATGGGTGAACTAAAATGATCTCATAAAAATACTCTGTTGGTGATAGAAGGAGATTTGACTCTAGTGGTGAACACACAATACAATATATATAGATGATATATTATAGAGTTGTGTATCTGAAACCTATACACTTTTAGCCAATGTCACCCAATAAATTAAAAAAAACAAAAATACAATAAATATGAGATATAAAATTAAAAAATTTAATGACACTCAACTTTTTAATTTAGTGATAGTGACCATCATGCATGGAGCTCATCTATCTTCTTTGTTTTCTAGACTCTTTTTAACTTTTTCCCTTCCCTTATATTTTCAAGAAGTATGTACAAATATATATTTTTATATTGCAGGTAATATCTGCACTGAGTTATGCTTCTCAATGTTTGATCTCCATCTAAGTGTTTTTTTGGTATCTCATAATGTATTTAATAAATTTGCAAATCCTGTCAAATTTATTGTGATTAAGGAGTAATTTTTGTATGGGTAAAACAGGTTCAGGATGTTAGGTGAAGGAACAAGTGAAAATTAAATTGGTTAGCATTAACGAAAATGGGGCCTTCATTTGGGGTAATATATACAGTCTTAATAGTTCATACAAATTAGCATCTATATTGTATTATGATCACATTATGTTTTTATATAAATGAAGAATGGTTTTGCTTTACACAAGCATTACCAACAAGAAATTAGATTATAAAAATAATATTTTTAATGAGAATTTAAAAAAAAGTCGAGTTAAAAATGTGATGAGGAAAATTGCATAGAGAATTTAAGGAAAATAAATAGAGGCAATAAAAATGGGCTGGTTTTCCATGAGGGATTGACATAGATAGATAGCTGCTTACCTAATTTCTTAGGTATAAGAGTCCAGACATATGTTTTCCTCTCTCCAGCTTGAATAACATCACTGCCATTGTTTTTAGGGGTGTGGACATTTGCCTCAAAATTCTGAGATTCTTCCAATTGAACAGAAATCTAAAAAGAAAGTCACGGTAATGAGGGTGGCACTCCAAATACTTTGCTGTTACTATTCCTCCTCCAATCTTGAGAAGATTCTGCTCTACCTAATTTAAATTAGCAGAGATAAAAGATACCAAATGACTCCTCTCATGCAAAGATAAATATGGTAGAATGCATGTCATGAAGTGACCTTCTCAAAGCAGCATTTAAATCATTGCTGTGCATTAAAGCAATTGCTTTCATTTGAGGATTATGGCAACAATTTTTATTACTTTATAGTACAATTTCACATTTGAGAATGAAAATAATATGTCAACCTTCAAGGAAAATATTAAGGACTTTGTTTGCCCTTATTAGACTTTGTCTCCAAAGGCAACAACTTACCTCTGCGCATGTATTCAGGTAGCTGAAGACATTGACAATCACATCAGATTGTTCATTTTGGACAACTGAAAAGGGGAGGGTCATTTCAATAAAGAAAGACTGTGAGACTTCCAGAGCAGTTGTTGATGAAATGCCAAATCCAGAATCACCATTTACACAGAAACCATTTGTATCCCATTGAGTTATAGTGTCAGGGATGATGAATGAAAGATTTGCTGAACCTGAGGAACTAGAAGGATAGATTATTGGTAAAATCAATTTATTTTGTTTAAACCAGGAAACTAAATTTAGTCCAGAGCAAGCAAAAAAAAGGTATTAACTGAAAGTTAAAAATGAGTTATATTGTTCAGATGGGCATTAGATAAAAGCCTTAAAATTTAACCTTAAAAAGACCACATTCCTTTACACACATTATTTTTTAAAGTAAGTTATGTTACATCTGTCTGCATGAAATTAATGAGAAACAATACTGAAGAAATATTAAAATATGTGGTCAACACACACAAATGAGTGTTATATTACATATTTTACAAATATGGTAATGCTTTATATACCCCAAAAATAAAGTTTAAATAAATAATAACAAAAAGAAAATAGAAATAAGGACTTCTGGCCAAGATGGAGGTGTAGGCAGACACACTGTGCCTCCTGGCACAACCAAAAGAAGGACAACAAAAATTAAGAAACAAAAAAACAGCCAGTACTGACAGAAAATTGAACTGTATGGAAGTCTGATAACCAAGGAGTTAAAGTAGACACATTCATCCAGACCAGTAGAAAGACCAGAGTTGGGCAGCCAGGCAGAGAGGGGTTGTGGCAAAAACAGTGGTAGCTGGTGGACCCTGGGGGCGCAGGTGGTGGTGCAAGGCAGCAGCGGGTGGACCCAGTGAGGTGGAGGATTGTGGAGAAGCCTGGCGTGCAAGGTGGCTTGCAGAACTGGGTGGTCCCACATTCTCGTGCAGACAAACCAGGCAAAACTGGGGAGCGAGACAGGCCACAAAACCCAGGGTTCCAGTGCCAGGAAATAAAGTCTCAAAACACCAACTGAAAACACCTGTGGGGTTGAGGTGCTGGGAGAGACAAAAAACATGGCCCAAACAGAAGAATAGATCAAAGCTCCAGAACAAATACAACTAAATGATGAAGAGATAGCTAACCTATCAGATGCACAGTTCAAAGCACTGGTGATCAGGATGCTCACAGAATTGGTTGAATTTGGTTACAAATTAGATGAAATAATGAAGGCTACAATAAGTGAAATAAAGGAAAATGTACAGGGAACCAATAGGAATGGGAAGAAAACTGGAACTCAAATCAATGGAGTAGACCAGAAGGAAGAAAGAAATAATCAAACAGAAAAGAATGAAGAAACAAGTATTCAAAAAAAATGAGGAGAGGCTTAGGAACCTCCAGGACATCTTTAAATGTTCTAACATCTGAATTATAGGGGTATATGAAGGGGAAGAGGAAGAGCAGCAAGTGGAAAAGTTATTTTAACAAATAATAAAGGAGAACTTCTCCAAATCACCATTTACTTCTCCAATTCACCATTTCTGGCAAAGAAAATAAACTTCTAGGAAGTCCAGGAAGCTCTGAGAGTCCCAAAGAAGTTGGACCCAAGGAGGAACCCACCAAGGCACATCATAATTACATTAGCCAAGGTAAAAATGAAGGAGAGAATCCTAGAAGCAACAAGAGATAAGGAGACAGTTACCTACAAAGAAGTTCCCATCAGACTGCCAGCTAATTTCTCAAAAGAGACTTTTCAGGCAAGAAGGGGCTGGAAAGAAGTATTCCAAGTCATGAAAGGCAAGGACCTACATACCAGATTGCTCTATCCAGCAAAGCTTTCATTTAGAATGGAAGAGGGGATAAAGTGCTTCTCAGATAAGGTCAAGTTAAAGGAGTTCATCATCACCAAGCCCTTATTTTATGAAATGTTAAAGGGACTTATCTAAGAAAAAGAAGATAAAAAAACATGTATAGTAAAATGACAGCAAACTCACAATTATTAACAACCACACCTAAAACAAAAGCAAAAACAAACTAAGCAAACAACTAGAATAGGAACAGAACAACAGAAATAGAGATCACATGGAGGGTTAGCAACAGGGGAGTGGGAAGATGAGAGAGGGGAAAAGGCAAAGAGAATAAGTAGCATATATAGTAGGTAGAAAATAGACGGGGAGGGTAAGAATAGTGTGGGAAATGCAGAAGCTAAAGAACTTATAAATATGACAAATGGACATGAACTAAAGGAGGGGAATGTGGGTGGGAGGGGTGTGCAGGGTGGAGAGGAGTAAAAGGGGGGAAATGGTACTACTATAGTAGTATACTCAATCCAATATATTTAAAAAATAAAAAAAATTTAGAGGTTCAGCAATAGAAAAATGATTTTTTAAAAAATTAAAAAATAGAAATAAAGACACATTGGATACAAAACTGTTGAAAGCTCACTCGACACTGACGAGATCCCATATCCATGTCTCTGGAAAGTTTGTTCTTACTGTTTCTGTTACAGCCCGTTCTACAAAGTCAGACGCCTCCATGACTTCACCAGGTAAAAGAAAAGAGAGATGTTTTATTTTGGAAGAATAAAAATACATGTTTCCATGACATGGACCTATAAGCTGTGCCTTTAAATATATATGCTTAGTGTGAAGCACTATAAGAAATTGCTCCTAGTGCTCATTGCCAATAAATGTACATCTCAACCTAGGCATCGGCATTTTGATGCTCAAATCTCTCCCAATAAACAAATAGTCAGCTTACATTGTTCCTCCACAGCTCAGTTTAGAAAAAGTGATGTCTATTCACTGAATTGGGGTTCTCATCGAACATCCTGGTGTCAGCCAGAAACCAGTTTGGTGCCTGCTGATGCCACTATGCTAACAGGACTTTCACTAAAGCTTTTAATGATGTTAATATTGCTGATTCTAAAGAACACCTTTTTCTTGCGTGGCCTCTAGGCTATTTGACATTCTTAATCACTATGTCCTTTTCAAGAGTCGCTATTGTTAACTTCTTTAATACCAGCTTCTTCTAGTTGTCTTCTCACCTCTTTGCCATTCTCTTTTGAGGATGTAATCTCCTCATCCTTGACTTGTTCCTAAGATCTCTGTTTCAGGCCCTCTTTTTCTTACTGTGCTCTGTTTCTGCATTCATATCCTTAGACATGGCTTTATTATAGTACTTATGCTGAGATTTCCTAATCTGTGTCTCCCATCTGGACCTCTCTTCCGAGCTCCATGCTGTACATACAGCACCCTTGTGCAATTTCCTTTTTGGATGCTTTACAGGCATTAAATTGTTCAAAAAGTTAACTAATTATATCTTCCCCTGCTGGTCTCCAGGCTTTTCCATCTCCATGACAGGTACCAGAATCTACCCATTTACCCAAATTGGAAATTTAAAAATTGTTCCTGACTCCCCCACCCACATCCTGCACTTCATATCGTTACCAATCAAATGAAAACAACTTTTTTACTAGTAGTCCAAGTAGCATTGTTTCTCAACTCAATTACTAGCTTTTATAACATTTCACGCAGTCTTAGACAGTACAAGTCCCAATCCCCTTTTCCAAAGAGCAGCAATATCTTTTGAAAACACATATTAGAATGTCTACTTAAAACTTGTCAGTAGCATGAATTACTGCATTAGAATGAATTCTGAATTCTCTAAATGTCTTACAAGATCTTCATGAGCTGTCTGTTTATCCCTTTTGCTTTAGCTATCTTTACTCTTCCCTTTGAACTATACCTTCTGCCATTCTGAAATGCTTTAACTTTCTACCTTATTTTTCATAGTACTTTTCCCTCTTGAAATGCCCTTCTAACTCCTTTTGTTGTGTATTACCATTCACATTTCAGGTCTAAGTATAAATGTAACTTTTTCCAGAAGAACATAATAAGCCCTTGAGAAATTTAGGTCTTTTCTATTGATCTTATTTCCATTTAATGCACTCTTGTCAGCTTTCTGAAATTACATTTCACTATAAAGCTTCCCTCATAAACTAAACATTCCAGGAGAGCAGAGATTAAGCCATTGCATTTGCAATACATAACTAAACCCCTGACCTCAATAAATGTTTGTTGAGCGAATAAATAAATGAATAACTGAAGAAAGAGATCATATGAATGCCTTTGGGTTTCAGTACATTTTAGTTAAAGATATTAAAAAGTTTAGATGTGTCCGACAAGCTCAAAATATGGTTTGATTTAGTAGCAGAAAAGTTGATAACTTCAACCTCTTGACCAAGACTTCAAAGTGGTTTCAACTTCTGGACTTGAACTCATGGAATCTATCCTTATAGAAAGTTGTGAGGCCTTTCTTTTTTCTCAAATGGTGTTTCTCATACCCATCTTTAGGATCAGCCCTACTTAAGTTACTCCTAGACTAATCTCAGTGGTAGGTCAGAAGGATTTAAGGGATGATATTCAAGTGTTTTCAGATTTAAAATATAGCTTTGATTTGGGTTATAATCTGATGACTTGTTTCATTTTGTTTCTGTGATGAAATTTCTGTATTGGAAATCTACCTAATTACTTTACTCATCTAAGACTGTGACTGAGTTTTGTGCTTAAAGTTCTTCCAGTAGGAAATAGTTCTTCCTATTTGAATACACTGCTCTGATGCCAGCTGTATGGCTGTCTGGGAATTAACATATTCTCTGCCTTGAACTCTGTGAACTATGGTCTATACATAACAAGGGCATAAGGGTCTTTTAAAGACACCTTATTCTCCTGTATCATACTCACTTATAATAACTGTCCTTCCATATCACAATGCATAACCTGCTCATATACACTTCTGATATTGTGTTCTATAAATCAAATTAAACTTCCTTTCATATCTGAAGCTAATTCTTCCTTTTAGCCCAAACCATTACCATTCTGCTTTATTTTGCAGGATGTCTAGTTGTAACTAAAAACATGGCATAATTTACATGTAAAATTCCTATTTTTATAGTTTTATCTCAAATACATCTTTGGCCATTTGCCAGACACAAAATTCTAGATTACTCACATCTGCGTTCATATAGGGCACTGTACATTGGTGAATGTCCTCTCTGTAGATACAATGGCCTAGGGAATGGCTCCCACTCCATTGAACATATTTCTGGTTTCCGATAATGGAGATTGGTAAAGACTTTCAGACCCATGGCCTTCAAAGAAACAAAGAACAAAAGAAAAGTTGTGAATTCCTTTCATGCAAGACCTAAAGAAGATCTATTATCTACATTATAATGATAAATATGCATGTATCCTCTGCTAACAAAGGTCTGGGATTTTAGAAGACAAATCACCTGTATTTGAGGTATTGAAAATTTTTAATTTGGAGGAAAAAATAATAATCAGTTTGATTTATCTAGAACTCATTATGCACTAGGATTTTGCTAAATATTTTACATCATTTTCCATTTAAGTCTAAGGAAAAATACTATTGAAATAGGCACTATAACTATCCTAATTAACATCAAACACACATACAGTCTCTCACACACTTACACAATGTACAGTTTGCAGTTTGAAGAGCTGGAACTGAAATAAAAATCTATGTAATTCCATGCTCCTTTTCTTCTATACCCGTGACTTCAACTATAAAGAACTTCCAGAGAGGTCTCAGCATATCTAATTGATAGCCCTGGTTTGGATAAAGCCCTGATTATATTACAGCTTCTTGATTCAACTATTTCTGTATAAGATTTGTTACAATAAATTGAAGACTGTCTCATTACTTCAAACATGAGGTTTTATAATTTCAGCCACCACTTAATTTATTTTCAACAAAAGCTAATATCTCCTAAGACAATTTCTGAGTGCTCTTTAAGCAAATGACTGATACCTATCTCAAATAATAGGAAAAAACTACATAAATAATAAAATATAGATATATATTATGAATACTAAAATGAAAATTGAGATAAGATAAATTAAAAAAATTTAACTGCTCTTACCTTGACAATATCATAGGTGTCTCCATCCCCATTGATGCTCACAGGTGTATAATATAAACCATTGTAAAACATATCCTTCTGAGGAATGCAAGGGTCTGGCTTGCCATCGTCAAGGTTGAGACCGTGATAGAAATAACCATGAAGTTCTATATTTGGAAGCAGGTTGTACACCTATGAGAAAATCACATGGCTCTCAGTGATGTTAAGCACTCCCTTTATTTTTACAAAATTGGTGAATTTGTGCTGTAATCATTTATTGTTTTTTTTTAAAGTAAAGCTATAATACTGGATCCAACATTTTGTGTCAACTCATTCTTCTAGAAGAGGAAAACTTTGTTTTAGGTGGTTAATAATATGTTTTAAAAAATTTCAGCTTTGGTGCAGGATGCAGATATCATGTAAGAAAGAGAGGCCTGAAGATCCACAGCTTAAGCCAAGGCCTAGAGTACAGATAATTCATTGCAATTACGATGCTTGAACTTCCAAATCTTGAGAAAAATTGTAGCTGTCTGATTCTAAATCTTCTTGTACATCATTTTAAAGAAAACATGATAACAAAGAGAAGAAGTAATAATATCCATGACTTGTGTTTTTAACATTACTAGGGTACAGATAATACTGTGACCTTCTAATTACTTGATTGTAGAGAAATAACACCAAATTCTAACAGAGCTTCTACTGCTGCTAAAGAGTCTAGGGCATAGAAAGCTAGAGAGGAGGGCTTAAGAGACAATCTGAAAAAGAGTAGCCTAGAGAAATTAGAGGAAATACACACAAAATCAACTTCAGATAAGAGAACGTACAACATTAAGTGTCAAAAAATGAGTCATTAGTCCTCAGACTCAGCAGGAAACAGGAAAGGGGCTTGAAATGAATGGGCCCGAAAGTGGCAATTCCAAAAAGCCTGGCTGATGGGAAATTATCAGATCATTCCAGGAGGTGTGGTGACTCTTGGGGACAGGGTGCTTTTTCTACAACACACAGGTGCTATAGACGTAATGTTGTTGCCTTCTCAAAATTCCTATGTCGAAATCCTAATGCCCAGTGTGATGGTATTAGGTGGTGGGATCTTTAGGAGGTGATTAGGTCATCAGGGAAGGACCCTCAAGAATGAGATTAATACCCTTATAAAAGATGCCCGAGAAAGTTCCCGGTTTCTTCCACCAGGGCAGAAGAAGTCTGCAATCAGGGAGACACTCTACCTGATTGTGCAGGCATGCTGATCTCAGGCTCCTGGCCTCCAGAACTGGGAGAAATAAACTCCTGTTATTTATAAGCTACCCAGTCTCTGGTAGCCCAAATGTTACAGAAGGCCAAATGGATTAAGACAATAGGTATACTTTTAATAATAAAAAATTTAAAAATTATTAAAATTTTAAAATGTTTAGTTTAATAATTTTTAAACTAAACATTAAAAAATTATTAGTTTTAAATATGATCATAAATTTCAAAAACAAACCATCAAAATTGAAACAGACTGATGGTACAGAGAACAAGCTGACATTTGCCAGAGGGGAGGGGTGTTGAGGTACTGGGTGAAAAAGGTAAAGGGATTAAGAAGTACAGATTGGTAGCTGTAAAATGGTCATTGGGATGTAAAGTACAGCTTAGGAAATACAGTCAATAGTATTGTAATAACTATGCATGGTGCCAGGTGGGGACGGGAAATAAGAAGGGTCCACTTTGTAAAGCATGTGGTCATCTGAGCACTGTGTTGTACACCTAACACTAAAACAAAATAATATTAAATGTAAAGTGCAATTGGAAAATAAAATTTTAAAAAAATTTCCATATTTATGTGTACTTGTGTTAAAAGAAAGGGAAATAATCAACAGTTATTAATTACAAAAAACTTGGTGTGAAATTCTAGGATTCCTAGTTTGAAGATAAATACCTAGATAATAACTTTAGACTGTATCCAAGCACATCTTTCAACACAGAGATTTAACTCTAGGTTTCCACACACATATAATTATATCTGTGATGTTTTTCAAAATCATATTGTTGCATGATCCCTAACCTGCTATAATTATCTACAGAATTCTGTATTGTTATGAGTGCTGGGTCAGCCAAGAGAAATAAGTATACAACCCATGAAGGAACAATGGAAGAGAATATTTGATACTTTCAACATGTTCCACCTCAAAAATATCATCCAAAAGGTTTGATTTGTAGGAGTCCAAGTAAAAATGGGGAAAATGCAGAAATCAGAGTGCTTACACTTTCAGCTGATAGCTCTTGCTCTGGTTTCAGGAGAAGAACACTTTTATCCACAGCCCGGAGAGCGCAGAAGGAGTCAGGGGCAGCTCTAAGGTACAGGCTAGTCCTGGAGCCAGGGTGTCCCTGCTCCTTAGAGAACTTTATGCTAACCTGAAGGAGAGAAAGAGAAGGAATGAGAGGCAGCTTACTTCATGTAAATGCTCAATCTCTTCCAAATAAATACTTATAGATTTCTGCACCTATCTCTCTCTCCTGGCTACTGTCACCCTTAACTCTCTTTGCAGGGCCATTCTCCCATCATCTCAGGACTGGCATTGTGGTTAAAAGTTATTCATTCTGTTTGCTGGTTCTCTCATCCCCCTAATGATTCATTACAAAACACTTACTGTGAGAATACCATGTAAAGTTTATAGTACTGAGATGACAGGGAGAAAACTGCTCACCCCTTTAGCTCAGGACCAGCAAGAAACAAGAAACATCACCTTGTTTTTAAAGCACTTGTCAACCTGGAATTTGACAGTGTCAGCCACAATTTCCCCGCTGGGGTGAAGGGTGTAGACGAGCATGACAGCCATAGGAGCCAGATCAGCGCTGACGTTGACAGGGAATGAGAAGTTTCCATTCCAGGCTGTGTAAACAGGAGATGTCATCAACAGATACAACACCAAAAATTTCCTGGTTCATTGGGTACACTTAGATAAAAGAGAATGACTTATGATAGAAAAAGCAAATTGGGCTTCATTTTAAATGCAAATGAATTAAATAATGGTAACTATATATACAAATATGAATATTGCATAATTTAGGCAACAGCAATATTTGGGTTTTGGGTATCATTTTTCTATAATGTATTGACAAACTGGCAGTAATAGAAACAGGTTGAAATCTCCATCAAAATATTTAGTAAGTTACCTTGGGCCATGCTAAATGTTGCCTTCCATTCACAAATCATAATGTTAAGCACTCTTCTAACATAACCTCTTGACTCTATTACTATAATATTTTCTTTAAAATAAGGAAAAATGAAGGTAGAATACATATTAAAAAATAAATGCATTGTATAAACCTTTGTTTCTGATTTCCTTTTGTCCACTGAAGATGATAGCTCCTTTTGCCATCATCTGTGCAGAAAAAAGAAAACACATATGTGGAATCATATTATTTAAAATATCATATCATCATTAAATAATTTATAATCTAGTGATACTTCTACTCTGTCTGATAGGGTATTTTCCATGAATAAATATTAAAAATGGAGTCTGCACAACTGGAAAAGAACAGAGAAAGTTACAATTGATTGCGACCCTATTATGTGCTGGGAACTTGTTGAAAAGTAGTATGCAGTGTCCTGTGTAAGGGGGTGCATAAAACTCTGAAATTGTTTAGCCTGCCTGACTTTCAGTTAAGCCAAGACATTTCACTCCCTCGTCTCTGCTCTTGTATTTGTAAAATGGAGCTATTCAGAAGGTGGAAGAGTGAGTTAACTCATGTAAAGCCCTCATAACACTGCCTGGCACAGAATACCTTGGAGACGTCTTATTATTTTTAATTACAAATATACAGCTCAGGAAGCTAAGGCTTAGAGAGTTTAAACAATCTGTCGAATATCAACTAGCTTGCATGAAAACAAGGAGAGGGTGGAGGATTTTAATTAGAAGTCTCAGTTTCCAAGTCTGTAGCTTTTCACCTTTCAATATGCCTTTTACAGACAAAGTGAATAAATATGAGGCAGAACCAAAAGGGTTAATTTCTTTTATTGTTTATCAAAATCAACCTTCTAAAAAAAAATCAGCCTTCTACTTTAGTCTCTGGTATCTGCATAATATTTTACTCTCACAAAGAGATGTAAGTATTTACTTTATGTGAGTTATAATTAAATACTTAAAATAGCAGACTCTGGAAAGTTTTCCAACCTTCGGGAAATTGAAATTTCCTTGGATCTTTTATGTGTTTGTTTGTTTATTTGTTTCTGTGTTTGTTTTCAATGGTTCCAATGGTATTCACCAGCAAAGTGAGATTGGCCTACCTGGACTGGCATGCATGCCTGATATAGAAGCTCTAGACTGTGCTGTGCTAAGCAGACAGACAAGATCCAAGGATCCACCAGCTGAGACTTACCAAATAAAAGAATTTTATGTTTGAATTGTCCCTATATGCATTACTGTTCAGGGAATAATGCACACTAATAATCTTTTGTTGATTGCAGCTAAGCAGCCTTGGTTCAGGAACAATCTTCAGGAAGCTGTTGGTTCGGGAGTAAAAGCGTGGGACTGACATGTGGGCACCCATGTACTCTGGTGTCAACCAGCCAGGACCATAGCAGCTCTTGGGGTGAATATATGTGGCCTGATAAGATAAAAGAAAACAAAGGATCTTGGAGGTAAAAAGACCTTTCAAGGCCAGTAATTATTAGAGAATGAAAGGCTTCTTATCCTTTCAATGGAGGGAGAAAAGTTAGTTTCTACCTTCCAATTAAACATTATCGGAAGTTAAAATATTAAAGCACTCTCCTGTTTTTGTATACAAAACAGGACCATAATTGTATGTCTATTTCATTAAGCTTAAAATGAATCATTTATTTTTACTTTGTAATTGAAGTCACAAAATAGCTTTAGGTTCTGTTGCCTTTTGGCTACATTTAAACACTGATATGTTGTTATAAAATTCTGTTTAAGAAGCAGAAAAAGGGAAATGATAGTATCAAAGTTCCATATCTATGCATAAAATGAACAAGGAAGTCAAAGCATTTTCATGAGCTATTTCTAGTTTCACAGATGAAAATAGGTTGTTAGAGCATTTATAACAATTATAATAGGCTATTATTACCTCATCCTCTTAAATAAGTATTCTCATGTATTATCTAATGAACAAGCAATTGCATAAAATACCCTAATTTTAAAACTTTGTTGAAATGCATTCTCAATACAAGTTATCTTGTAAGACATTTCTGATGTTCAAAATTCCTAACATTTGAATCCTCTGCATCTCTTTGGTGACTTACTTTCAGGTGGAACTCGGGATCAAAGATATCTGAAGTGTCGATGGATAACTGAGCTTCCCCATTCTCGTCTGTGGTGTACTCTCCTAACAATTTGTCATTGAGCTCCAATTGCAATAACTTTTTCACCATTGGGACATTATTAGGACCAGAAAATTTAAGCTGTATAGAAAAAAAAGAAGCATTAAATTTCAAAATTTGAAATGTCACATTTCTACTGAGAAGGAATTATCTGTTCATAAATGTAACCATTTATTTGTAAGTTTCTTAAATTCTAACACATAGATCTTCTATAAATAAACAGATGGTATGGAAATAATTTTATGTTTCACTTTCTTTTAGCCTAGGGCTTTTTCTAGTATATCAGATGCAGCAATGTCACAAATATGTTATGACAGTGGGAAAAATGTCCAGAAAATTTTGAAGGGCAATCTATTATCCAAGAAAATGAAATGAGAACATATATTTTTTTACTCAAACCTACTGTGCCAAAGTAAGGAATTCCTCTTCTATAGAAAGTGTCCATGTTCTCAAAGTTCACACTCCCAAGAAATTCAGTAATAGGAATAGAAGCCTTTTCACTGATCTGCACACCTGCAAGAAATGAGAAACAGTGTCAAAGAAGGTGTATCACTTGATGTGCAATCTTGTAAATTTCTCACCCTCACTTTGGCACTTGGAAATGTTCCCAGCTGTATTAAATCTGAGGCTGACAAACATCTCTAAAGGATCTGATAGTTATCACTCTAAGCTTTTGGACCACATGGTCTCTGTCACAACTTCTCAACTATATTGTTTTCTGAAGCAAGGTAAACAAATGCTGTCTTGTTCCAAGTTGAATGCAGCATTTACATCACAATTTTATTTTAAATATTATTAGAAAAACCTTACTCAAAAGCAATCTTCAAACTGACCTATTAGCAAATGTACTTCACCTCACTATATTGAGCAATGATTGATCTATAGTTGGTGAGTACCACTGAATTATAAAATTTCTCCCCATGAAGCTGCGCATCTCCTCAGGTTGCCCATAAAACATAACCATTACCTGTCCCAATTTCTGTAGCAGTTACAGTGATATGAAATAACATGAAAAATCCAGAACGGTAGAGTTGAAAGACTCTTGTATTTACAACTTGAGAAACACAACCATTTCTCAACTGAAAAATAAAGAGAAGGTACAATGAAAAAGTTAGGGATTCAAAAGTCTTTCAAGATTATGGTGTTTTAGCACAGGTATATATCTCCCTTCACACCCCATGGCTCTATCTCACATACTTGTTGAAAAGACCACAGAATTACAAAAGACTGAGGGAGGAGGGTTTTCATCAGCAAATGAAGTAAAGAGATATTGTATATTTTACAGATTTCAGGGCCATTCTCCTAGAAACACTGTAGGTGGAAACCAATTAAAATATAAAAATAAAACTGAATGATATTTTAAAAGTAAATTAAAATCATCCTGAGAGGCACTAATAACAGGTGGAATAGAATCGATCCTCCAATGTATAACACTAAAGTACGATTTAATGTCAAATAGTCATTAAAAATAAGGAAGCAATGTATGGATAATCTTTCCTTGGTAATATAAGTAGAGAAATATAGATTTAGTTATATTTAAAATAAAAATATTTATTGATTTCAAATTTAAACTATTAGAAAGATACAGCAACTCATTTGATTCTGAAAACTTCCATATGAGCTAGATACTGTGGTCGCCTCCAGTGTACGGGTATAAAAACTGAAGCACCGGGTAGGTCATATAATCTGCCCAAGGTCACACAGAAGGTTTTAGAACCAGTCAATCATTTGGACTGCAGAGTATGTCCTCCTCTGAACCATCAAGTATCATATCAACAGCAACAGAAAAGGCAATTTTACTATTTATCTAATGACAAGTATCTGATAATAGAATCAAATTAAAAAGAAATGATAAAAATACTCAAAAGAACCTTAACTGCTTTGAAATTAAGAAAAAATATTTTCCAGTAATACCAAGTCAAACAGAAAATGTGAGGTAAGTCAGTATGAATCTAGTATCAAGGAAAAACTGCTTGGTATCAAAGTCTATGGTGTTTAGTTATGGATGAGGAAAATGTAGAGCACTGTGTTTTTAACAAAAAGAACCAACTGACATTTTTAAAAGCCAGAAATATAAACTAAACTTTTATGGAAAAGAATTAATAGAAAACTGAAATAAATTATTTGGGAACACAAAAGTAATATTAGAAAGAAAATAATAATAGGTCAGAGTAAGACCAATAAAATAGATAAATTTTTTAGGAGCATGATTTAAAATAAAGAGAACAAAATTATATAAGATTAGGTGCTAACACAAATTATTTACCTGGAAGAGGGCTAAGTTTCTTATTCAGAACACAATAAAAAACTACTTTATGTTGATTAGTAAAAATTTTAAATTTTAAATCTTAAGAGTATACTTAGCTACATCTATAGCATAGTGGTAGGTGAAACCATTTTCTGAAGCTGAGAACCCAGAAACATTAAGAACTTTGGTATTTCAGATATACCATAATCAAAGTCAATATTTGACTTAAAAAACAATGTTTGCATAGAGGCTAAAGGACAATATTTAAAATGAAAGTTTATTTTTCACAGAAATAAGACAAGCAAGAATAATTAAGAGTTCTCAAAAACAAATACAAACTGATAAATATATAAAAATATACTCAAACTCACTAGTAATACATATTTTAAAAAATGTGTCTATCAAAATGACAAAAATTTTAAGCAATATATGTAAAAATGGAGACATTTTTAATTGGACAAACAATCCAATTAAAAAACAGGCAGGGTCTATTTTTGTCTTCCTCCTATTGAGTCATTTGAGTTCTTTATACATTTTGGAGATCAAACCCTCGTCCAAGGTATCATTGGCAAATATGTTTTCCCATATGGTTGGTTCCCTTTCCATTTTGCTGATGTCCTCCCTAGCTGTGCAGAAGCTTTTTAATTTGATGCAGTCCCATCTGTTCATTCCTTCATCTATATCCCCTGCCTGAGGACATATAACAGTGAAAATATTGCTTCTTCAAGGAGAACATACAGAGGGCCCAGAGACATGTGCAAGAATGCTCAACATCACTGGCTGTCAGAGACATGGAAACTGGAACCACAATAAGACACCACTTCATACAAGTCAGAATGGCCATCGTGAACAAATCAGCAAACAACAAGTACTGGTAAGGATGTGGAGAAAAGGGAACCTTATGTAGACTGTTGTGGCCACTGTGGGAAGCAGTATGGAATTTCCTCAGAGAACTAGAGATGGAATTGCCTTTTGATCCAGTGATCCCACTACCAGGTGTATAACCTAAGAACCGTGAAATACCAATTCAAAAGATCCCCTGTGCCCCAATGTTCATGGTAGTGCTGTTTGTAGTGGCCAGGTGCTGGACGCAGCCTAAATGCCCATCAGTACATGAGTGGATTAAAAAGCTGTGGTACATTCACGCAATGGAATACTACGCAGCAGAAAGTAAGAAGGAGCTCCTACCCTTCGGGACAGCATGGATGGAACTGGAGAGCATTATGCTAAGTGAAATAAGCCAGGCAGTGAAAGACAAGTACCATATGATCTCACTTATAAGTGAAACCTCCTAATCAACAAAACAAACAAGCAAGCAAAATATAATCAGAGACATTGAAATTAAGAACAAACTGACAGTGACCAGAGGGGAAGGACGGTGAGGGATGGGGGAGGGGGATAACAGGGGGAAACAAGGGGAAGGTTCTAATCTAGAAACATGTATGAATTGCCCATGGACATGGGCAGCAGGGTAGGGATTGACTGTGGGAGCAGGGGAGGGGTTGGGGCAGGGGTAGAGCAACAGGGGAAAAATTGGGACAGCTGAATTGAACCACAGTAAAAAAAAAGATAAGTTTCTGTCCATCTTTAGCAAGTATTGATATTTACTTAAAGGGTGTGCATCAAATTTGGTGAGTAGCTTCAGGACAATCAGATTCATAATATAAACTGTGCAGTATATAAGAATTTCACTTTTGGAGTCCAAAGATAATCCTTAGCGAGATGGGCAGGGTTTTTCACTTAAGGTTAAAATGCTACAGACTGAGAAAGCAAATGGTAATTTCAAAAGTGAGCTTTATCACATTGACTCAGACAATGATTTGTCAACTATTGGAAAGTAAAAGAGAAAAATGAGTTGATTTCCTATGAGTGAGTTAAACTTCATGATAATAGATTTTTTCTTACTTGTATTAATAATAAATGTTGTAGTCCAAAAAAAAAGTGAACTTTAAATCTAAAGTAATAAATATAGATACTTCGGATTGCAGAGAAGTTTGCAAATGACCTTTTTTTTATATAAGAATAATTCTAGATTCCATGGGGAATGTGATAAGAGATTCATTTATGTAAAGGGTAACTAATGAATCCCCAAAGAAAGATCAGGAAGGTCACCTAGACAGGTTATAAAACAAGGAAGCCAATAAGAGCTTTCAACTCTAAGAATTTATTAATCTATAGGCGGGCAACAATTTACATAGCCTAGAGATAAGAGACTATTGATAAACATTGTATTTTCTTCCTCATTATTTACCTTATCTAACTGCAACTTCCATTATAGACAAAATTAAAATAGTGTTATATCCCTTTTATAAGTGAAATCAAAGGAAGAATAATAATGAAAATGAACAAGACCTTTTTTTAGAATAAAGATTATGATCTATACCTGTACAATAGATTGCTCGCATATTTCATTGTTGTCTTTCTCACAATTCCCAGAGGAAAAATATTTTCTGCACACCCGGATTTGGGCTTTCCCTTGCACAGGCTGGCCAAAGGTGTATCTGGTAAGAGAAGGTGTATTGGTAATTATAGATGAGCAAAATCATGGTAATATTTTATGGCCTCCTTCAGAATTTGTGAAATTCAGAATTATGTGAAATCTGTAACCTATGAGTACCCCAATGACCAAATTCTGTTAGGAATCCTCACCTGTTGGTGATATCGTCCCCACAGAATGAACAGATTTGGCATTTGATCAGTTAGCAGAATTCAATTTCTTTTTAAAAATCAAATTCAAGGTAATGTAGACTCTAAAATTTCAGTGACTATGATTTAATGATTAAATTGAACTTTTAAAATTGTATTTTAATCTCATAAAAATAAATTTTTTGCAACACTTTTTCCTTTAGCAAAATATGTATGTAAAATAAATATGTTTTGATCAAAAGTACAGTGTCTTTATGAGGTGGGGTTAAATAAATATTTCATTTTTTTCTGAAACATACAAAAAATATAAGTGTTTTAAAAGTTTAATCGAAGGCAAATACAATTGATATGAGGGATTTTTTGTTGTTAGTTGAGGATTTGGTCCACTAAGATTCAGGAAAACAGATAAATGTGAAATTAGTATATAGCAAAACTTGATATAATTAAATTATCAGTTACACTTTCTTCTAATTGTTGGACACTGGTATATATCTGGTGTTTATGAACATTATCTTATTTACTTTTCCTGGTAATTGCGGGATGTACGGTAGGTATATTGTCCCATTTTACAGGTTAGTAAACTGAGGTCAAGTAACTCATTTCTCCACATTGTAATTGATGGAATTAGAATTTAAACTTAGATCTTCCTCACTCCAAGCCCACGTTCTTTTCCTTCCACTAATTCATTTCTCTCTTTATAAAAATTCTTAATATTTCTGAGATTTTGATTCAGCCCAAATCATTCAACTCCTCTGTCAGCTCTAAATATCAATTACATATGAAAGAGACATAAAACTAAGTTATACCTGAAATATCTTATTTCTTCTCACTGTCTTTTATGCATAAAATAAAACTTTTATTGTAGTATTATCTATAGGATAACACATGTCTGTAAAATATGTAGCTTAAATTTTCACACAGGTCAAAATAAACATTCTCCCTTTGTTTTTGACTTAAAAACTTTAGTTAAGCTTTCATTCGGTTAAATTCAGGTTATAAATATGTCTGCCTGTCAGCGAGTTTTCTTCTTCCTTAAAAGTGTAAGTCATCTCTGAAGTTGTTTGCTAAAATAATCTAATTTGCCATTATTTTCTCTAGCTGCTCCAAGATAAGTCCCAGGGAACACTAAACAAACAGTGCACAGGCACAGTGGCATACAACTTGAAGCAGACAACTAATTGATGCACTGATGTAATTCCTAGACATACCGCTCTGTTCATCATATTCTCACAGCCTGCCCAGAAAAAACCTCGTAGCACACACAGCTCCTGTCTCAATTGCCTGGTCCTATTGCAGGATATTATAATTGCTGATACGGAAATACTATTTAATATCAAATTGAAGTAGAATATAACATTAAAGAAGTTTCAAAAAGTCCCAATTCCATATCAGTATTTAGCTTAACAAGTCTTTTATGAAACTGATGCTTCCTAAATATTTTCGTTCTTCCGATATGAATTTTTAGCGTACTATTGGGCAGATCAATTATAGATGTTAATCCCATTGACAATCCTGGCTTTGTGTATGGTTTTCAAGTGAAGCCAGTTTAGGATCTTGGATTTCTTCAAATTTATGTTGATTATCCTATTATTTTGTTAACAAGATAATCTACAATCTCTCAAATATTACATTTATTAAATTCTGACATATGTTCAGCTACTCTTCTTGAAACTCAAAAAAATATTATGATTATTTTCCTAGAGTCCAAAGAACATTTTAAATATTATAAAAAAGCTAGAAAGTGTTTTTCAAGCTTCTTTGTGGCATTCATGAGCACTACCGCATCTGTTCATTAGATAGCCCTTTACCAAGTGTATCTTTGATATACTACTGAAAATATCAAAGGCAAGTAATTTGTATTAATGAATTAAACAGTATTTAAAAATGTGGCAAATACTAGTATTTTTAATTGCTTACATAAGTTACAACAGAGGTTTTGATTAGGAGAGTAGTTCTGGAGTCAAATAGTGTAGATCTAAATCCAAATTCTGTCATCAAAAAGCTCCATTAATGTTAAGTTATTTTAATTCTTTGTGTCTTATTATCTCTCTATATAAAATAAAAGTGATAATAGCTATCACATAGCATTGTGGTGAGAATATAATAAATGCATACTTAGCACAGTATTTGGCACTCAATAAATATTAGCTATTTTAAATTATTTTTTAGAAAAGCGAGAAAAAGCATCATACTTTTTAAGACGTTAAATTGCATTAGAAATAATTTCCCAAAAAGAAAATAAATATTCTCAAGTCACATAAGAACTTTTTTTACATTAAAAGAATTCAAATGAATTCAACTAAATTGATAAAATGCCTTCTTTTTACCAAGACACTTGTGAAAGTTTCTTTTCTTATCTCTTTTGTTAATGAAAACACCCAAGACTATGAAGGTTCAGGGAGGCAGGTAGTTTTGCACCAGCACCTGGAATTGTACCTCAGAGTCACATACTTGGTGAGCAAAGTGACAATCAAAAGACTAAAAGAATATTACATATTTTGCTTTGGTAATTCCAATTCTGGAAATCTTTCTTAAGTAATTTTTAAATAAAAAACTACTTCTTATACACTTATACACAAAGACATACACTATATTATTTTTTAGTACTAGAAAAACAAAATGGAACAGCTTACATGTTGTAGAATAAAAGAATGGTTAAATAAATTTGGAATGACCATTTAGAGACATTTGTGTAGGAAGGAACTGGAATTCATGAAAAGACTGGCATACTATAGGGACATATTTTCTTAATTATAAGGGGTAGAAAATTATGATTGCAATTGTGGAAACTTTATAAATGTTTAGAGGAAAATAAATCCCACTATTAATTGTGTCAGTAGAATTAATATATAGGTAATTTCTTATGTTTTTCTTTGTATTCTGAAAATATTTTACAAGGACAATCCATTTCTTGTCTGATAATTTTAACGTAAGCATATAAATAATTAACGTTACATTGTTAATTTCATTTCTCATTCTCTCTGAGCCTGTATTGACCTGTGGGGTCAAATCTCCTGAATAAATACTTACTTAGCACATGCGTCCACTGGGAATTCTTCATCGGAAATAGTTACTGTTTGTGGTACACTGACCTTTACTTCAAACTTAGGCAACACTGGAAACAAAGGGAAACATAGTTCAGCCCCCACAATCACTGGAGAGCAAAACATCACAATTATGAAACTAAGTATGCTTCTGTGCACAATATTTTTCTCTGTATACATCTGTATAGACCACCCTTCAATTGCTTCAAAATCTGTGTGGCATTAGTAAATGATGGTGTCTCATTAATGATTAATTATTCCCTTTTCCTTTCTCTTCTTTATTCTCGTAACTTTACATTTTATTTGTTGTAATCCTTTAGACTTTTCCTGGAAGATTGTGTGGATTCTATAAAACGAAATATACCTTAGGAAGAAAAGGCAGGGGCCAGAAACAGGACACTGGCAAGAAGTGAGCAGCAAGAAAGATGACAAAGCAGGAAAGGCCAAGAAAGGAAGAAGGCAGAACACCAAATCCAGCTTCGCCTACGATTCCTAATTTTAATGTAAAAGTTACATTTTTGAGTCCTTTGAAACCTTGGAACAACTATAGGTATCGGATACCATATCTATTCACAGTAAATTGGTGCACCAGCATCTTTCCTGATGTCCTTTCTACAACAATGGAGTAATCGCCAAACATTGGTTCTGAAATCAGTTGGAATGAGAGCTGGGTAATATTTCGAAAAGAAGTCACATTTTTCCATTGAAAAATCCCATTGTTTTGAGGATCCTAGAAAATAAAGAAGATATAAAAATGGAAGCCATATGAGAGTATTATCCTTTCCTTCATGTGGGTACTTTGTGTGGATAAGGGAAGTAAAGAAAGTTCTAACATTCTATTGAACTGATAACTCAAATTGTAAAAAACAACATAATTTCCTAGATGTTCAGATTCAATCTTATAGTGTATTTTTCTAAAGTCCAAAAAAGAGAAAAAGCATAATTCTAATTCTAAAACCTAAGTTACCGCATTTGTCACAAAGCTTTGACTAAAAGTGACAGCCCTCTATGTAGATCTTTGTCTGATGTGTTGCATTGTGTATATAAAGATTTACCTGAATTTATAACTATGCATAATGAAAATTAGACACAAATCACTATTTACCTGAATATTTAAACTGATGGGAATGAAAAATCGATCTCTTACCTGAAGTGTGATTAAAGGATACTGAAAGAGGGAAAAAAATGCAAGTTAATATTGTAACAGTGCATTGCTTTTTGGCCACATATTTGTATTTATAAAGACTATTTGAAGTAATTTAAGTATTGAGGCTTAGCCCTCACTTTCCCAGAGGGCAAAGTTTTACTGCTTCAGGTAAACCCATGTTTTACCTTTAACATGCAACCCACACTTTTCCTACATAATGAAAAGTCTTAAAGAAGTATAAATGAAGTCATGATGAAGAAAAATTTTATGTTTAAATGTGAGATCTACCAATGAAACTACACCTATATGGTTCTCCATGTTACATCTATTTTCATGCTTATGACAAGCTTCCCGACAACACTTTATATTGCAATAAATTTATTTAATTTGATTAAATTTTAATTGTACCATTAGAAATTATTGAACTCACCAAATCCTCAACAGGTGTGAAATGGGTATTCAGTGTCACAATACGAACTTGAACTAAAAGACAACAGAGAGGGGGGCAATTTTTTTCTTATTATTTCTCTCTCAAGTATTCTTGTTTACATATAGGCATGGAAATTAATTGCCTTGCTATGACAGAATACTGCCCTCCCTTCTCCCCTAGCTCTGATTTGATCCTTTGAGATTTGAATTTTATTTGGAAGGGTGTCTTATTGCACATTTGTAATTTCTCATGTTGAGGAAGCTGACTGTTAACAAAGCTGACACTAGCTGCTGCCACCACTGGAACTGGTGGCAGAGTTAGTCATAGAAGGACAGAGGTAGAATATTTATGGTAGGAGTTCGACATAATTTTTCTGGGAAAATGTACTGATGCTAGTAAACATTACAGCACGTTAATTTCAGCAGAATTCTAGAAAACCATTCTAGCTACTTTTGTACACATACCTGTCATCAGAGCACTTTAATAAGTCCAGAGAGAGAATATAATACAGCAAAAAATCTCACCATATAATTGTTTTAATTAATTTATTTCTTTTCAATAAATCATAAACATATATAATATTAAAACAAAATGTATAGATGCTCTCATTTAACCCTCTACTTTAAAAATGAGAAAACTAAAAATCTCTAACATCAGAATTTGATTGACAGAAGCCAATCATTTATTAAAACAGTCAAGACAAAGAAACATCTTTCTGAACCCTTGTTTGGTGTTTGTTTCTATCTTCTATCTAAAAAATAAAGAAAATTGTAGGGTTCTGCTTTGATTTTCAGATTTATGATTACTTTTACTGATATGAAGAATAATAATAGTAATAAAATGTCATTTATGGAGTCTTTATTATGTGCTAGGTACCGTTTGACACTAACTATTCTCACAATATTTACATAAGGGAGATACTTTAATTATCTTCATTTACAGATAAAAACACTGCGTCTAAATAGAGATTTAACTAGCAAATTATGGAGCAATAACTCAAGCCAAATAATTTTGCTCCACATCCATGGTATGTAAGCCTGTCACTAAAATTTGTACAAAGTAATAGCAGTCTGCAAAATTTTAAGAAGCAAAGCATTCAATTACTGGATTTGGAGGGAATTATTTTATAATTGACTCAGTCAACCAGTAAAAAGTCTAGAAATACATGATCCCATAACATTAAGAATAAATTTAAGACTAAAATCCCTGTATTTGGATTACTCTAAATTTGAAGACTGTGTTCTCAAGATCAATGATACAAAGAAAACATGAATATTGACTCACCCTTCTCTCCAGGTTTGTAGATGGGTTTATCTGTCTGCACAAAGGTTACCGTCTCTTCCGAAATGAGTGCTACAGACCTCCTCTCAAAGATTTTCACAGTATCTCCCTTAGCCAACAATGTCACAAAAGCTAACTGTGTAGAGGAGTTCTGAGAAACCTGTTTCATGTTAGAGAACAGAGATTGGGGCAATTATTTTTAGGTGTTTAGAATGTGAACAATGAATATCTTTATTTAGTTTCTCAGCCTGAGAGAGACTTATAAGCCCCTAAGGCTTATTTCTCAATGAGAGCTTTAGTGATTACTTGTTACAATTTCCTTATCTAGAACGAAAAAAGTTTCTAATAAACTTTTTATGTCTCCTTTCTTTTTTCCTGTTGACCTAAGTTCCACTTACGCTGCCTTACATTCCGTTTTCTCATATTTTTAAAGTTCTCTCAAAAAAAAGCAGTAATTATATCCTATAATTGCCTCCTATAATAGAAAAATGGTAATATTTCACTTTTTTGCCTATGTTAATTTTCATTTTATTTTTTTGCCTCTCAGAGATTCTCTAGTGTTATTCTCTAACTTCCATAATTCATCAGAAATCAAAGTTTGTTATTCTAATAATTTTAAATAACAATTTCATCTTCCCACCTAAAGTTCTGAAATAGTCTGTTCAGTACCTCACCTTGAAATCTGCACAAGCATAGAAGCTCTCCTCATCCACATACTGGTCAAAAATAGTGGTATTGACTTCATCATACTCTAAGACAATGCTCAAGGATACAGACTCATTAAGATTTAAAAGGTGGAGACAGGCCTTTTCTGTAGAGTGACTCTGAATCACAGAGGAGACCCATAGAATATATTGCCTATGCAAAGAAAGTAACCAACACTCTGAACAAGTACAAGAGAAATCCAAAACATGCATGAAAAGCATTGTTAGCTTATTAAAATAGTCCCGAAACACATTTTTCATTACTTTAAACTCTGAGTATGCAGAGAGAGATATCTTAAGAAAAATATGTCAATTCCCTTCATACACTTGTTTAAAATTTTTAAAGCAAACCAGAACTCTGTCTCAGAAGTGTTAAAACATCAAATTTTAACGCAGAACGTATTTAATAGGGTCACTTTGCTAGTACTTTAATATGAATAAACAGCGTAACATTCCCTTACGGTTCTGAAGCCACAGCAACAGTAAAATGAAGCCAAATGGTGCTCAGAAATATGATGGGCAACATTTTATCCCAATGTCTGAACAATAAAGAACTAAAAATAGATATTCTTTCTATCTCTTTGTCTCTTTTTCCCTCATTACAAGTCAGCTGCCTCAACTCTCCAGTCTTTCTATCCTTCTACTCTGCATCTGTCTGTATGGTGTTGCTTTTATAGCCACACAATGAAAAATCAATTACTTTCTTGGGGCAAATATGAGAACCATCAGTCACACTTAGATCACCTTTCTCATTATTGCTCAAGGGTTGTTACTTGATACAGGACTTCCTTCTTAAATTCACTGATGCTGCTCTGTTTTTGGAATTAGCAGCACAGGTGGACAGGAAGAAAGAGAAACAAAGAAACAGTTGTGTGACACTTAGGAGTTCATTCATTTAATTTAGCACCTCACTCACAGGGCTGACAGCAGTATCAAAAGCATTATTTTTTTTTGAGGAATCAGCACTTTGAAAGAAAACTGCACCTCCAAAGAGCTGTAGCTATTTCAGCGCCCAAAAGGTCAATTTTCCAGGCTTCTGAGATAAGTGCCATATCTGATGTTGCCAAAATCCAGATGCAAACAGGTATCTCAATCATGGCTCATTTTACAAATAATTGAAACTGGTAAGTTATTTTTCATAATTTCATAATATAGAATACAACATTTAAAATGACGATATGCCCTAGCTGGCGTAGCTCAGCGGATTGAGCACAAGCTGTGAACCAAAGCATCACAGGTTTGATTCCCAGTCAGGGCACATGCCTAGGTTGCAGGCCATGGCCCCCAGCAACTGCACATTGATGTTTCTCTCTTTCTCCCTCCCTTCCCTCTCTAAAAATAAATAAATTAAAAATCTTAAAAAAATCAGTAAAATAAAAAAATGATGATATGCATTCAACATTTACTATAATTTTCTCTTTTCAAGGGCCTTTGGCCTTTTTTAAAAAATTGATGTTTAAGTACAGTTGTCTCCATTTTCGCCCTACGACTCCCCCCAACCCCAGCCATCCCCACCTCCCACCCTTGATCCTACCCCACTTTGGCTTTGTCCATGTGTCTTTTATACATGTTCCTTGACAATCTAGTATAATTTTCTTGTAAGGTTTTTCCCTTTATTTTTTTAAACAATATTCAGTATCCTTTTATACTTTAAGTATAAGAAGAAAGGAAAGAAAATGTGATAAATATATGTGCATGCATACACAGATGTCACAGGCGTGCACAGGTGTGCACAGGTAACCAGGTTCTTAGTGATCGAGGACAAAGAATTGAACCGAACACACAAAGTTTATAGCATAAAGAAAGAGGGGAGGTTTATTAAGTGATAGTACATACCACAGGACACGGGAGTGGGCCAGCTCTGAGCAGAGGAAAAAAGGGCACGTGGGCTGGGGGATTCTATTCTTATAGGGGCAGAAGCCCCCCTGCTAGTCTTTGGTGGGCTTTTCCTGCGCAGGTACAAGGAGCTGGATTTCAAAGCTACTGAGCATGCATGGTTTCCCATGACTTTCTTGATTGGCTACTGGAGAAGGGAGTCCCACAATGTTATTTCATTATAATGATATTATAATGAATCAGGGGTAGTGCGCAGGCGCATTCTATGATTCAGAGTTATCCCAGAAAACAGGAACAACTCGTCTTAGGGGGTCTTTGTCATGTATAGATGTTTTCTACCTCAGCCCTGCGGGGCCTCGGGAGCTTCCTTCCTGACTACCTCCTGCCTCAACTTCCCCCTGAGAGACATGGTTCTCAAAAAATCTTTTTGGGGTTGTTGAAGGATGAAGATCCGTCTTCCATAGCTGCTTCAGGCTTAGATTGGACAGTAGACCCTGCCTATTGAGAACCACGGAACTCTCGCCCTATTCTATCTAGGGGTTGACGAGGAATTCCTAAGGCCACCGCAGATGCTGTATGTTGGTCAGATTCGACATCGTTCTCAGGGATTGGTTGGAAACCTTGGAGCGTCATCAGTGTGACGTGAAACTGCTTAAGTCTAGAAGAAACAAATTTAACAAGTAAATTAAATAAGCAAGGTCCTAAAAGTAGTAAAACCAGCAGTGTTATTAAGGGCCCTAAGAAGGGTAATAACCATGTTAAGCCAGGGAACCAGGAGGTCAGGGTTTCCTTAATCCCTTGGCCCTGTTGATTATACTTATGTAGCCATTCTGCCTGTTCATAAATTTTCTTTATGTTAGTTTCAATCATTCCAGAGTTATTTACATAGGTGCAGCAGGTTTTATTGATAACAGCACATACCCCCCCTTGTTCTGCTAGAAGATAGTCAAGGGCAAGGCGGTTATCCATGACTACATTTGCCAATGAGTCTACTGATCTTGAGAGTCCAGCTACAGTACCAGCAGTATCTTTGGAGATTTCTTCTATAATCTTAGTGAGTTCCCTTAGAGTGGCCTCATGATAGGCGAAGCCTCCCCAGGGGGCTGCAGCGGCTATAGTGGCAGCAGCTCCAGCCACTACTAGACCAAAAGCTCATTTTTTTTCTGCTGAGAGATGGACTCTCAGGACCCATGGTTATATTTATAACGGTAAGGTCTTGGGGTGCCAAGGTCCCTAAGGTACAGTCACCCCCATGTTTAGAGTTGCTGAGATGAGTATAAGCAATAGCTTCTTGAAGTTCTGAATGATCCGTTAGCCAGTTATTGGGAGTCCCACATAGCCAAATGAGCCCCGGGGGTGCTGCAATAACTGTGGCATTAGTGGAGTTATATTTGTTAAGGAGGGCATATGGCAAGGGGGAAAGGCAGTCCTTAAAAGGGCCTAAGTTATTTCCTTGATCTTTCCCCCCCTGCAGGAGGTGGTAGAAATTTTGCTAATACTCCTTGAAGAGATTGGTTTAATTTCCAAGTAACACATTTAGAAGTATCATTTGTATCTGCATTGTGAGTTTTGTCAAAGCAACAATGGGTACTATTAGGAATACAGTTAGAATCATAATTCGGGTAGCATACTATATGTGACCAATTTAAAGGTCTGAAAATTTCTTCCTCAGAAAGATTCTCTAGAAAGCTGGAACTTGAAAGAGAAGCCAGGGCTTTAAATGGGTCAATGGTCCTTGTATGAGTATTATAACATGGGGTGCATCCCATCGTACTGTCGCACTTAAGAGAGGTGCTGGAGTAATTAAATGGCTTTAATTCTAGTGGGGTCATACGGAAACACAAAGGAGGATTTCGCTCCCATGTGACTGTTAAAGAAAAAGAGGAACGCGTGTAATTGGCAGAGGAATTCAAAGCACTGATTAAGGATTCATTAGCTATTGGATAGGCTTTTATATGAGTATTATATCTGGAAGGAGTTTCCGGGTTAGGATGACATATCCAACATTGGGCCAGGTTTTCTCCTGCTGCTAAGGTTCGAGAAGCATTCACTAGAAAATTTTCAACCCATTCCGTTACACAGGGTGCAGGCGAGTAGAGAATGGTTAATAGAAACAACAAAGACATTTTCATTTTAACTGGATTTTAACCGGTAATGCAGTCTTTGCTCTTCCAGGAATCCCTGACTCCCAAACTAGTGCGTTTACTGCATCCAGAACTGAACTTGGGATTTCTTCCTGATTTCGAACACTACTGATTATCATCACCTTACTTAACTCAAATGGCACTTCAGGGAACAACAAGATGGTTCCCATCTGAGCTAAAAGGTCCCGGCCTAACAGAGGAATAGGGCACTGAGGAACAATTAAAAAGGAGTGTTTGAATATTCGACACTCAAATTGGCAAGTGATAGGGAATGTATAAAAATATGCCTTAGGATTTCCTTCGACCCCCATTACCTTAACTGATTTGGAGGAAAGAGGTCCAGAGTAAGAGTTAAGGACAGAGTAAGTGGCCCCTGTATCAACAAGAAAGTCGATTTTCTTACCTGCCACATCTAGAGTTACCCGGGGCTCCTCGGTAGAGATGGGAATATGAGTATTCCCTGGGGCCGACCTGTTCCCTGGGCACCTTCAGTCCTCAAGAGTAGCCATGGCCTTGGGAGATGACCCCTTTCCACTATGGGAACAGGGGCAGTCTACCTTCCAGTGCCAGGGATCAGAACTGAAGTTCTTGCATAGAGGACAGGGCCTCGGAAGTGGCTGAGTGCAGTTCTTTGACCAGTGTCCAGGGCGCTTGCACTTATAACAGGTCTGATCCTTTTGCCCCTGATTCTTTTGAGGCCTCCCTGAGCTCCCCTGATGGGGCTGGTTTCCGCCAATGGCACTACTAAAGGCTAGTGCAAGGAGCTCTGCTTGCTTCTCCCTTTCCTTCTTTCCCTGTTTTCTTTCCTCCAAATCCCTATTGTTAAAGACTGAAAAGGCTGTATCCATGAGCTGATCTAAGGGGGTCTGCGGGCCCATTTGTAATTTCTGAAGCTTCTTGTGAATATTAGGGGCAGATTGAATTATAAAATGCTGTCCTATCAAGATTCGACCCTCTGGGGATGAAGGGTCCAAGTTTGTATATTTTTGGAAGGCTTCTACTAGTCTGTTTCTGAAGAGAGCTGGGTTCTCTTCCTTGCCCTGAGAGATTTCCCTAACCTTTTCATAATTCACAGGTTTCTTGATGCAGTTTCTCATTCCTGCCAGTAAGCAATCTATCATTGCATCCCTACTCCGGATATCTGCCTGAGTATTGTATTCCCAGTTAGGTTCCTGGTCTGGGACAGCTTGGGCAGCTGGCTGGTTAGTGCCAGGGTTCTGGGTATGCAGCTGATCTGCATACTTACGAGCCTCCTCCCAGATCCGCTGTTTCTCGTCTGGGGAACAGCAGGTGGTCAGAATTATGTACAAATCCCTCCACGACATACTAAATGCTAGAGTAAGAGTCTGGAAATTACTAGTGAAACGTGAAGGGTCCTCTGAAAAACTCCCTAGCCTGCCTTTACATTGTTGTAAATCAGTTATAGAGAATGGCACTTGTACCCTTATAGCACCTTCAGAGCCTGCTACCTCCCTCAAGGGTAGGAGTGCAGGAGTGGTACGGAGATAAGAAGCGCCACTTCTAGTATGTCCTGCAGGGCTGGGTTTTTCCTCAGCTGGTGGCTTTAGGTTATCCATAGCATAAGGTGGTGGAGAGGTCACTCCCTCTAAGGTAGGGGCAGAGACTTCAGAACTCTGGG